CTTTCCCTGCATACCCTGTTAGAAGCCTAGCCCCTGTTTGCAATGTGAGAAGGGCCAATGAACCAGTTCACGTCTTATTGGTACAATTAAGGGTAAATTCTTGCCTTCAAAGCAGTGAATGGAAAGTCAATTTGTGCATCACATATCCACCATCCCCCGCCATTCTTTTCCAGAAAGCTGTGCCCCCCTGACCCTCTGAGCACTGCCCACACCACACATTTCTTTGGGGGAGTTCTGGGGATCCTTTCCTCCTAGTTTTTGGATATTAATTACTGCCCTCTAGGCAGTAGAGTTCAGATTGAGGGCGAAACAGGCCTTGGAGCAGGAGGTAAGGGTGGGGAGCAATTCATTCTGGGATGCTGAAAAACAATATCTCTTTGGAGCAGGTACATATTTGATGTTCCTGTCCAAGATATCATGACCCCAAGATAAACCTTGACTGAAAGGGCAAAACTTTCTCCTTTGTGACTTTTCGTTTGCACTTGTAATGCCAGAAATGGCTTGAACATGCATCTGCCTACACTTTGGAACATCACAAATGCATTTGGAATGGCACAAATTGAATAGGTGCCAAGGACCTAACTGTAAGACTTTTTTGTTTGTCCATTCCCTGGGACAGCCTTTTTCTTGGAACACAAAATATAAAAACAAACTCAATACCTCTGGTTTCTTCAGAAATCATTACAGCTACTTTGGCATGATTCCCAGTATAAAATCCAAGTTTTTTTAAACTCATTGGGCATGTCTACACAAGATGCTACATCACTGTAGCAATGAGCTATGTCACTGTAGCTCACTGCTACAACGACGTAGCATCAGTGGGCACGAACCATGATGCTGACACTATAGTGCAGTAGCTTGTTGCTACTATGCAGTAGCATGAGAAGAAACCTGTGCAGCATTGGGACTGTGCAGTAATGCAGGTTACTGTGCAGTCATTTAGTACTTGCTTAAGCAAGTACTAAAGGAGTGAGCAATAACAACTGCACCGTCCGGCGCACGTGTAGATGTACCCATTGAAAGGATGCCAGGATGTGGGAAAAATATCTTTGAATTAAATGCCTTTTGTAGTAGCTATCTGTTTGGCAATAGTCTTTACATGTGAATTAGAGGCTATTCCAGGAGATGCAAAGAAACTGGAGGCTACAGGACCTGACTTGAAGCAGTTCCAAGTTGACTGCACATTCTACTTACTGCGAAATGCTTACCTGACCATGCTAATACTGACAATAACCAGTCTAACTGAAAACAAAAGTCTTTTTTCACCAATGTTTGTGTTTGATTCCTGACTAAATCTGGAAAAAAAATCTCAGTCAGCGCATCTACGCATGACACTACATTGCTGTAGCAATGTGCTATGGCAACGTAGCATCGGTGATTACAAACCATGACACCACAGCTATGTTGCCATAGCAATGCACTCCCTCATTATAGTGCATTGCTTTGGCAACATAGCAACTGAAAATAACTGTGCACCGTGCACACGGCACAGTACGGGCTGTTACTGCACCATCATTTAGTACGTCCATCTTATCTCACAAATTTACTATTCAGTGGGTGCATCTACATGTGTCCCTATGGCGCCTTTGTTACTGTGCTGTTATTTAGTACTCCCTTTTGGAAACTTCCAAAAGGAAGTACTAAATGACAGTGCAGTAACAAAGGCACTATAGGGACATGTGTAGACACGCCCACTGAATAGTAAATTTGTCAAAAAATGGAGTTCTGGAGGAAGTGAAATTACTTGCAAAAATTGGTTCAAATGCATCATATAAATTCTGTTTCAATAAAAGTGGGCTGAACAATTTGAAAATGTCAAAATATGTTGTTATGGTATTCTCATAATGGAATGTTTTATGTTGGAAATTTTAAAATGTTCTATTTGAATATGTTCAAAACCAAGCCAAAAAGATCCACTGTTTGCTCATCTCAATACCTGAGTATTACCATGTGGTGTATTGTATATATAATGGCCACACCTACACGAGATGCTTACTGAGCAGTAGCTCATTACTACTGTGCAGTAGCTCATTGCAGTAGCATTGCCAGGCACTAACCATGATGTGACATTATTGTGCAGTAGCAATGAGCTACTGATCAGTAAGCATCACTAGGCAACCATACTGGGACACTAATGGTGGTTACTGCACAGTCGTTTAGTATTTAGTTTGCAAGTACTAAATGACTGCACAGTAACAGCTGCACAGACACCGTCTTGTGTAGATATGGCCGCTGTGTGGTCTGTGTGTTTTTAACATAAGGTATAAGACCATAGGAAAGTAGGGCTGCAAGGGACCTCACAAGGTCATCTAGTTTAGCCCACTGCTCAATGTAGGATCATCCCCAGCTAAACCATTCCAGCCAAGTGTCTGTCCAACCTGTTCTAAAAAATGTCCAAGGATGTCCACAACTTCTCTAGGTAACCTATTATAATGCTTGACCACCCTCAGAGTCAGGAAGTTCTTCTTAATCTCTGACCTAAATTTCCTCTACTGCAGCTTCAGCCCATTGCGCCTAGTTTTGTCCCCTGTGGCCACAGAGAAAAGCCCATCTCTATCCTTTCTATAATCATTCTTCAAGTATTTGAGGACTATTATCAAATTCCCCCCTCAGTCTTCTCTTCTCCAGAATAAATTACCCTAGCTCCTTCAGCTTTTTCTCAGAAATGTTGCTTCCCATTTGTGATGCTCTGCACTGGACTCTTTCTGATCTGTCCACCTCCTTCTTGAAGCGTGGGGCCTAAACCTCCAGGTGAGGCCTCACCAGGGCTGAATAGAGTGGAGGAATCACTTCCCTTAATTTGTAAATGACATTCCTGTTAGAAAAGCCTAGTATGCTGTTGCCTTTTTTGCAACAAGAGCGTATAGTTGACTCATACTCAGCTTAAGGTCAATTATAACCTCTAGGTTCTTTTCTTCAGTACTGCAACCTAGCCAGTCATTCCCTAGTCTGTATTTGTGCATACAATTATTCTGTTCCAAGTGCAGGACTTTGTCCTTGTCTTTTCTGAATCTTATCTGATTCATTGCAAAACATTTATCCTGTCTATCTAAGTCAGGGGTGGGCAATTATTTTGGGCAGAGGGCCACTTACTGAGTTTTGGCAAGCCATCGAGGGCCGCATGACAGGCACCCCAGGGCAGATAAATATTAATTTTCTAAATTTTTTAGGGGTCCTGCGGGCCAGATAGAATGGCCTGGTGGGCCGCATCTGGCCCCAGAGCCACATTTTGCCCACCCCTGATCTTAGTCATTTGGGATCATAGCCCTGTCCTCCATTGTGTTTGCAACTATACCAAATTGGTATTGTCCACAAATTTGCTAAGTATGCACTCTATTGCATCATCCAGATCATTATAGATCATCATCCAGATCATTAATAGACAGACCCCGAGGGAACCCCAATTGATACCTCCTCCCAACTAGACACTGAGCCATTGATGATTACTTGTTGAGCACAATGATTCAACCAGTTATGTATCTGCCTTCCAGTATGTTTGTTTAGTCTATATCTCCTTAGCTTGTTAATGAGAATATTGTGGAAGACACTGTCTAAAGCCTTGATAAAGTCAAGGCATATCATACACACTGCTTTCCCCACATCCAGAGCCTGTCATTATCATAGAAGAAAATCAGGTTGGTCATGCATGACTTACTCTTAGTTAGTTCCTGCTGGCTGTTCCTGATCACTTGTTCTCTTTTAGGTGCTTCACAATAGATTCCTTGAGAACTGCTCCATTATCTTTCCAGGTACTGAGGTCAGGCTGACTGATATGTACTTGCCTGGATCCTCCTTTTCCCCCTTCTTAAAGATGGCCACTATACTTGCCCTTATTCCATCATCCAGGACCTCACCCAACTTCCATGATTTCTCAAAGATGATAGCTAATGGCTTGGAAAATTACTTCAACCAATTCCTTTACTACCCTGCGTGCATCCCATCCAGCCCTGCCAACTTGAAAGTATATAGTTTCTCTAAATAATCCCTAACCCAGATGTGGGTAAAATATGGCCTGCAGGCCAGATCTAGCCCACCAAGGGATACTATCTGGCCTGCAGTGGGTTCGTTGGTCCCACCTAGCCCAGGTGTGGAGGGCAGCCTGGGCCCTGGTGCATGCAGCTGGTGCCACCACACCACCCCCAGGTGTGCAGCAGGGCAGGGGTGGTACAGCAGCCAGACTCGGCTTCCTGGAAGCCCCTGTGACAGTGGCTCACCCTACCTGGCTACCAGTGTCTCTGCTGCCACTGCTGGACCCAGCCCTGCTGCCCAGGCACCCCAGCCCATCCTCTTCTGGTTTCACATTATCATCACCCCACAATCCTGGCCCCATCCAGCCTTCCCACTCCCAGACGTTGCTTCCCAACCACCCGTGGCTCCATCCCATCCACCTAGCTAAGCACACCCTTCCCATGGGGGTCCTGGGCCAGTTTCCATGGAGACTCTGTCTGCCTGCCCACCTGCTCCATCCAGCACCCTTGGCTGGGAGTGCAGGGTGGACAGGTCTGATGTCAGATAGGATCAATTGCCACTACATCCTGCCACAATAGGTCAGGTTAGCACTCCTCACCCAGCCTGTAACAGCTCACCAAAACATCTTAAGTGGCCCTCCAGCCCAAATAATTGCTCACTCCTGCCCTAACCTGTGCTGCCATTACTCTTGGTTTTTTCTCTTCTTTCCTATCTTTGCTGCTAACTGTATTTATCTGGCAGTTGCCCCTATTTGTGAAAACTGAAGTAAAGAAAGTATTAAATACTTCAGCCTTCTCTGCATCTTCTGTAACTAGATTGCCTTCTGCATTCCATAAAGGACCTATGGTCTGCCTCTTACTTTTGACATACTTTTAGAATCCCTTTTTGCTGTCTTTTATATCGCTTTCCAGCTGCATTCCAAATCATATCTTAGCCTTCCCAAATCATATCTTGACCTTCTCCATGCATGCCCACGTAATAGTTTTATACTGTTCCCTATGACTATGTCCAGGTTTCCACTTTTCATAAACTTCCTTTTTGAAGGAATTGCTGTCTAGCTAGGCTGGTCTCCTGTTTCACATCCCATTCTTCTGATACATTGATATAGCTTGGTCCTGCACCTTTAAAAAGGCATTCTTGAAGTACAGCCAGCTCTCCTAGATTCCTTTACCACTCTAGCTTGCTTTTTGTGAGTACTGCCCACCAGGTCCCTGAGTTTGCTAAAATCTGCTTTTTCTGAAGTACACTTTTTTTTTTCTGTTGCTTTCCTTCCTTCCCTTAGGATCCTGAATTCTGTCATTTTGTGGTAGTTGTCACCCAAGTTGTCTTTCCTCTTCATATTCTGAAACAATTGCTCCCTGTTTTGGGCAGCAAATCAAAAAGAATGCCCCCCCCCCGCCCCCCGGCTGGCCTGTCTACCATATGTATGAAAGTTATCCCCAACACACTCTAAGCATCTGCCGGATTGCTTGTGCTCTGCTCTTTTCCCTCTCAGCAAATGTTCTGTTAATTAAAGTCTCTCGTGAGAACCAGGTCCGGTGATTTGGAAGCTTCCATCAATTGTTTAAAATAGGCCTCTTCCTCCTTCTGGTTTGGTGGCCTGTAACAGATGTTCACCATGACATCCCCCCCAACATCCTCCTCTCTGACCTTTACCCAACAGCTTTCAACAGGCCTACCTTCTGCTTCATATTGTACCTCAAGAACAAGGGTATATTGCCTCAATATGTAGGAAATTAGCCTCTCTTTTTTCCCTGCCTATACTTTCTGAACAAGCTATACCCATATGTGATTATATTCCAGTCATGTGAACTATCCCACCACATCTCCCTAATCCCAATTACATCATAATTCTGTGATTGTACTAGGACCTCCAGTTATTCCTGTTTGTTTCCCATGCTTCTCACGTTAGTATATGAACATTTCAGGAATCTAACTGATTTTCCTATCCTCTCCCCCCAGAACATTGCTAAGGCTTTTGCTATTGCTTCCCCTTACTAAGTTTTTATCTAGGTCCCCTGACTCTTCACTTATCTCTGGGCTTTTTTCTCCAACCTCCAGAAAAGCTAGTCTAATACCAGTCATACATTGAAACATGTCCCTGGCTTTCCAGTTATGAATTTCCTAGTCTGTGAATTACACTTAAATTACCCTATTCATTTAAATTATTTTGGTTTTACTTCTTGCCCCTTTCTCTCCTCCTCCAAGTAAAAAGTGTTAATTACATTCTAACATTTATTTATAAGAGCCATTGTTTCATAGAGAACAGTGGTTACATTATCCTTTCCTAAAGTCTTGCCAAAAATATGATTTGGAAAATCTGATGTTTCATTTTTCCATTAGGAATCATTTCCCAGAACTTTATATTTTTATTGCAAAAAATCAGTAACAATTACACTGGAGTAATCCTGGATTCTGCAAACACATCTCTCCTTAACTTTGTTACTTGAGTAGTTCCACTGATTTCCATAGGATTACTCAAATTAGTAAAGCTTGGCATATATGTATGTAAACAATCTCAGGATCAGGATTTAAGATCGGAACTAGAAGAATGGGGCCAGGCAACCAACCTTTCACCCACACTGTTCTGTGTCCCACTTTGGCAGCAGACCAGAAGACTCAAATAAATTTGAAGTGAAACAGAAATTCTTAATCTGCTTGGCTGCTAGCAGGTGCTGCAAAAATGCCTACAAATAATCATTTAACCTGACATGCTCAGCACATGGAAAAGTACTTCCTGTGCTGCAAACAAATGTCTTACAAATTAGACTGAACAGACCAGTTCAGATTGCCATAAAATATCATTCATTCCTCAAAATGAACCAGAAAATTGTTTCAACCACCTGAAAAATTCAGCGTAGTTGCATGTACTTAATTGTCATACAAACAAGTTATCTAACTGACAGGAAAACTGGCTTTAGCCAAGACCAAAAGTAGAATTACTACAAGAGGTGTAATTATTATTATAGTTCTGCAACTATTATAAATGCCCCTAAATTACTGTCCACTGTTAAATTTGCTGTTCTTGTAGCATTACAAATAAGCATGGAAATGGGTAGCTGAACCTAAACCACCAACTATTGGATGATGATATCCCTAAATGGATTTGTGAGCCTGTTCAAACATTAGCAGATCACTCTTCAGTAGGTATTAGATACAGATAGACCCAAAGCAAATACCTCAGACTTTAAGGATATTTGTATTTGGATCCAAATTTTATATCCTTTGTTGTTCCCACAGTGGGCTGAGGTAATACCTTCACCTATTCAAATCCAAATCTGAATTTTGAAGCTGTGCTGATGATTCACATAAGATCATTATTGGCATAATATCATCAGATAGTCCAAACCCCATGATTGGGTGGCAACCAATCCCATTGTAGGCGTGTCTACACAAGATGCTTTGCTGCACATTAGACTAATCTAATGCACAGTAGAGCATCACTGTCTATAAGTGTGCGGCAATTACTGTGCATTAGATTAGTCTAATGCATCATTTGCTAGTACCGATAGATACAGGCACTAGAAAACAGCAGATTAAACTAGTGTGCCATACCACAAGTGTAGAGGCTGACCAGGAGCAAATTGCTCCCAGTTATATTGTTCTCCAAAGACCAAGGAGTTAAACTTATAGAATGATAAAGCTTGCCTGCAGTTCTGCTGTTCCTCCCTGCAATCCCCAGGCAAATGTAACAACCTATACATAGGCAGACAAGGTTCCACATAACACTCCTAAAGCTTTCCACACACCAGTCAGCCCAGGCAGCAGGGGGCCAAACTGCTGCCTGGCTCTGGGAACAGCTCCTAGCCCCCCGGGGGCAGGCAGGGAGGCAGAGCTTCCTTGTGGTGCGTGTCCGAGGGGGAGGTGCAGGGCACCAGGGACCATTCTGAGGAACCGATGCTGTCCCTGGCTGGGCTGTCCAGGCCACTATTCCCCTGTAGTACCTGGTATAATGGCAAAGGCAGGCCAAACCTGTCACCAGATGTGCCTGGCTCTGGGGGTCCTGCGCAGCAGGGGTCTGCACTGTGGTGCCTCCAGGCCTGCTGCCCCTGCATGCTTACCACACTGGTGCAGTGTTGCGCCCAGTGCACCTGCAGAGTTCCCAGGCAGAGAGCAAGGAGCAGGCAGGCACAGGGAAGTGTGGACTGGGCACACAAGCGCTTGCCTGCCCCTTGCCTGCCAAGAACTTTGCAGGTGCACTGGGCGCAGGCCTGCACTGGTGTGGTAAATGTGCAGGGGGCGGCAGGCTTGGAGGCACACCAGTGTGGAACCCTGCTCCACCCAAACCTGCCCCAAGTCCCCGCCGCCAGCCCGGAGCTGGCACCTGGGGGAGTCTGGAGCTCTCCCTGGCTGCTGCTGAGGGGGCAGAGCAGGGCAGGAGCAGTCCTGGATTAGGCTGCTCCTGTTGGGCTCATTTTGCTCCCGAACCAGGCACGTGTGTAGCTGTGCACTCAGCAGCAGTTTAATGAGCCTGAATTTACTGTGCAGTAAATTTTTAAATTCCAATGCATTAATTGCTCATGTAGACGCACCCTGTGTGAGGTCCTCAGGTTCTGTTTTATTTTCTTAAGCCCATCTCTGGTAACATTTTAAGGTAATAGCTCTAAAAGTCTGAGCACAGTAAACCTGATGTTTGTGTCCTCTCTCTTTTTGAGGAATAACCTGTATTTTTAATTCTTCTTGCCAACAGCATGCAGGTGCCATCCTCAGGGGTCACTGAGCTCCAACTGCAGTAAGCTGGGAGGCCAGTGTCAATGCAAGCCTAATGTTTTAGGCCGCTGCTGTGACAGATGTTCAGTCGGGAGTTACGGTTTTGGATTCCGTGGTTGTTACCGTAAGTGCTAAAGCTATGAAACAAACTGAATTCTTGCCTATTCCACTAACAGCATTTCATTTGAGATTCCAAGACCATGGCTGGTTTTTCTCCCAACACAAATTTCTATGCCTGTGTACTTCCTGACTCCCACAAAGAGTGGAAATGGAAGTACTGAAGAACTGAGCTAAAAAAGTGATCTAGTGGTAATTCAAGCCTGGCTAGAAACAGACAGTCCCAGAAGTCTTATAAGAGAACTTTCTTGTACATAATTTACATTCCTCTGCTTGCAAATTAAAGAGGCTTGAATAAGTCTGAGTCCTGGAGTGATTATTTATGCCATACCTTTTGGAATTTCTGACCCATTGAAGTACATGAATGTAAAAATAAAATATATAGGTATGCCAGCCTTGCTGCTAAACAATGGCTGTAACAGGGAATCCCTGCCCCTATTACTAGGAAGGCCTGAGAGGGTAGGAAACCCCAGGCCAGGAACAGCAGCAAGAAGTAGCCGCCTAGATGGACTGAACCAGGCCAGGGTGCTAACGAAGCAGTTAGCTGCAGCTGGTCCCTGGTGCAGAAGACCGGGTCACATGGCCAGAAGGAGGCCGGGCTTGGGGGTATTAGTCCAGTCCCTGACCATACAAGGGGTAGCCCCTGCTTGCAGCAGGGAGCGGATCTCCTGGGGGAGAGAGGCTGCTGGAGACAGACAGGTAGGCACCCAAGCCACCCAGAGGATCTAGGATGAGATACCTCCAACAGAAGTAGGGCCTGTAAGCAACATTTACCCTGAGGGAGGGAGACTTTTTTTCGTGAAGCCGCTAGCTTGTGTTTTTGTTCTGTTTTGAACCTGAGACTGGAGGACTAGATTGTGGCTATGGGGGTGGAAGAGGCTATGAACAGGGGTGCGTGGGTGGCACTCCACGGCTATCTGTGCCAAAAGCTAGCTCCAAGCCAAAGGGGTGGAGGCTGGCATGGTAAGACTGGAACCCCAGGAGGGGCTGCTACCAAGGCAGGGCCAATATTTGGGAGCTCAGGTTTTAAACAGTGAACCAAGGCAGAGGGTGCGGCCAGAGAAAAAGGGGGCCAAGACTGCAATAGTTGAAGCCCTGACAGATGCTCAGAAGCCAGGAGCACTGTCTTAAAGGGGAAGCATTTGAGGGAAGAGCACAAGGCCCCAGGTGGGGGGCTGGCCTGGCTGGGCAGGCAAAATGACCAGCAAGGCTACTGCCAGCCCCAGGGACTGCCTCCAACAATAAACAGCAATATAACATGAAGTCATAGCAAGTGAGGGACTGGAGGTGAGGTGGGCTGAGAGAGAGCCAGCATACAGGCTGGACCACAGTGGGGGAACCAGGTACCAGGGTGGCAGACCCCCCGAAGGCACTGCAAGACATCTGAGTCTAAAGGCATTCACTGGTAATCAGTTCAGGAACAATGCATTCAAAATGTAGCTTATCCTTAACATGACTTCTTTATTTTCTTTCATTTATCTAGCCTGTCAGTGCCATCCTCAAGGATCAGTGAGCACTCTCTGTGATCAAGTGACTGGGCAATGTTCATGCCGCCCAGAAGTTGATGGTCTGCGATGCAGTCAATGCCTCCCTGGATATTTTGGATTTCCCAATTGTCGACCATGTTCATGTAATGGCTATGCAGAGCTTTGTGACCCAGTGACTGGGGCATGCCTAAGTTGTAGAGGCTTCACAACTGGAAGTAGCTGTGAAAGGTAGGTTACAGGCCTTCCTGACATTAGTGACCCATAGACCTGGTGTTATTAAGACTTGTAGCCATCACAGTGGAGCAATGTTTCTAGCATCACCTCCAACTACATTTGATTCCCCAATCCAAATGACCAGTTACCCATTTACACCTGAGTTCACTGGGCATGACCTTTGCCACCACTTCAAAAAAAGTAATCACAGCTCTGGAACTACAGCAGAACTACTTTGCCACTATGCCCCAGGATGTCATCTAGAAAGTGTGTTTGAATGTTAGGTGATAGTTTGGTATTTGTTCCAGGATAAAGCACTGCAGTTACAAACTACTGGGTCCAGTTCTACCTTCAGTCACAGAATTGTATCACTGACATTAATAGCAAATACACATAAAACCAAGAATAAAACTGGACATCACTACTGAGGGACAGCTGTGTATTTATTCAGCAAGCACAAGCATAAAATGACAGCCACAGATTAACTCTCAGCACTGTAGGGCCAGATCCAATGAGGTTGTATGTACTAGCTGCAGAAAGCATTCAACAGATGGTTATGGTCCTCAACACCTCAGAAGATTGGGCCCTCAGTGCCCTGCTACATGTGACAAATGCTATATATACCACTCATTTGTGAGTCCTAAAAATCTTTTAGCTGCTAAGTATTATAATAAGTTTTCAATATCAGTTTTATTACTATGCATTTATAATCATTGCTGAGAAGTTTAAGGGAACTTTTTTTTTCTCTCCTGGTTTTTATCATTTCCAGATGACAGTCGAATTCTTTCCCCCACATGTATCTAAAAAATGGTGTGCCTCCTTTTTTCATTCATGCAGCCTTATGGACTCATTTTGTTTTGCAAAATATATCAAAGACAGTGTAGTTAAATTTACTGTAATTACACGCTGTATATGTGTAATTCTTACATTATTAATTCAAATAGTATCAGGGGAAGTGGAAGATTGAATCAAAAATATTGGCCAAACTCTCTAGAACATAAAATGCATAACTAGAGATTTCTTGATCCAGGTTTTGGGGATACAGCATTGATTTTAATTCCTGGAATCTATTCAAGACCAGACACTTCTGTACCTAACAATGGAAGTAGTATTGCAGTGACAACTGCTGTCAGATTAAAAAAGAACTAATTAAATAAACCAATCTACATGCAATGACTGAGGAGCACATTTGTCAAGAAGCAAATTTAATATGCTTCTGTGGTGACTCTTTTGACAGATGTATTGATGGTTATTATGGGAATCCTCTAAAAAGAGTGCCTTGTTGTCCTTGTATGTGTCCAGACTCTCCTACAAGCAACAGATATTTTGCACATTCCTGTTACCAAGATTCTCAGACTTTGCAATTAGTCTGCAATTGTCTCAAGGGCTATTCAGGTATGACACAAAATGTAGTTTGTTTTTAAAAATATCATTGTTCTTACTGAAAAGCTGAAAAATTACAACTATTTCCAGTTTATCCTCTCAGGGATATTGCAATCATCAGAATAACATAGATAAATAAAGTTAATGACTGCTTGATTTAAAAACAACAGCCCAGTAGCCCTGCAATTTAAGTTCTAGCAAGCAACTAAAGGAAAAAAAATGGATGCAATGAAGCAACCTCCCCCCCACCTCTATTTTGACTTTCATTTATTTGTAGATAAATCTGTTGTCTATTCTACATATTTCTTAAATGTAAAGCTCAGATTTTCTATATTGGCTGCCCAATTTGAGACTTCTACAGGGAGATGTTTAGCTGATAAATTCTCATAGCTTCACTGAAGTATTCAAAATTCATACTAGCAGGGGATCTCTTCATTAGGGCCTCATTTTCAATGGTGCTGAAATAAAGAGAGTGAGAGATGCAAGTAGACATCGTCCCTGAAAAAATAAGTTTGGGGTACCCAAGTCAGAACTGCTGCCAAAATCTGAGTCACTCTAATTAGTGGACTGCTTTGCGAAGTGTGGATTAAATTGTTTTCCCATAAGGGAATCTCTTTATAGATGTAGAATTTTGACCTGATGCATCATTCGGAGCAGGGGCTTTCCTTACTTTGAGCTACTTTTTCACAATTGGCTGCTTCATTCTCAATGATCTTGCATGTTACTATTTTTTGTAGCAAGCTAACTCTGTATTTCTTAATGTCATGTGTTAGTCTGAATCTCTTGGAGGGGGAGCTTACAAGCTTTCTCATTCCTCTGTACATTAGAATGAAAATTTCTTTTATTACTGGGATGGAAAGCAAAGGTAGATGGAAAGGGTTGCCTTAAATGAACACTCAAACAGAAAATAAAATTAGTTGAAGGTTCCATCAAGCAATCATCTTTAGAAAAAGCATAGTTAATCCTTTCTCCCTCAGCAGCCTCATGATAGAAACAGTAGTGCTGGACCTATTTGTTTCATGCTATTCCCAGCATGAAATTAGGACAAATCCTTTGTTTTCAATTTTTGCTGCCAGCTTCTGTCATCATATCCACTTTTACTTAGTCAAAATTAAATGGTAAGACACCCAAACACTGGGCCTGTAGTTTTTACTTAAGTCAAGTTCCCTTTCAAAACAGGGGAGTAAATGCTGTGGGATTATACTTAGCTTAGCCCACATTTGTCCAGAGGATTTCTGTCATAATAATTATTTTGGATCAAGACATACACCTTACACAGGGGTTCTCACAAATCAGATCCCAGACACCATCCGGGTAAACAGCATGTGAAGGGGGCTCCTAAGACTCTTGTGTACCAAGCCCAGAGAGTAAACAGCACTTTTTTGGTCATGAGCCAGTCAGAAGGTTGAGTGAGGTGTCAAAGACCACCTGCCCGTCCCACTTGGAAAATAAGGTAACAGTTCCCTCTATATTGAGGAAGGCTTAGGACAGCTGCAGGTGGAGGAGTTCTTTGTGGTGCAGCTCCCTTAGATCTATAATAAAATCAGAGAGCTAGGGGAAGAAGGCCCAGAACCAGTGAAGAAACACACTTCCTGAAAATGGCCTCCAGCAAGGTTCCCTCTAAGGTACGCGCGTGCACGGCTGCGCATAAGTAAAAGGCTGACCGTGCACAAACTTTTTTAAGGCTGTGCATCCATCGGGATAGGAGCTGGGCTGTGGTGTGGGACACTTACAGAAGGTAAGCTCCTCCCCGAGGTGAGGCAGGGTGGGAGCCTGGCAGGGGCAGGAGCCTGGCATGGGCTCTGCCAACTCCAGGGAACTGCTCCGTTCCCCCGCTTCGCCTCGGGGAGCGAGGAGGCACGTGCCGTCAGGGCCGGGGAGTGGAGCAGTTTCCCAGAGCTGGTGGAGCCTGCGGAGCAGTTCCCTGGAGCCGGCAGATCCTGCGCCAGCCCCAGCCTCCATCCCTGCCTTGCCTCACCTCAGGGAGGAGTCGCTGCCTGCCTCGAGTGAGGCTCGACTGGCTCTGGGGAGCTGCTCCACTCCCTGGCTCTGATGCCACGTGCCTCCTTGCTCCCCGAGGCAATGCTGGGGAGCGGAGCAGTGTCCCAGAGCCTGTGCCGGCCCCCAGGCCCCTAGCCCCTAGCCTCCAGGCCCCAGCCTCCGCTGCCTGCTCCAGGTAAGGAGTGAGGAGCTTACCTTCGGTAAGTGTCCCGCGCCGCACCAAACCGGCATGCTCATGGACCACTACTCCTTACAGGGAACATTGGCCTCCAGCATGTCCCTTAGATGGTTCATAGACACTGGCTGTGTCTACACAAGACACTGACTGCCCAGTCATTACTGCACAGTCATTTAATACTTGTATAAACATATGTGCTGCTGCTATTTGTGCTGCGGGAAATGTGCAGCCCTGCATGTGCATGCTTGTCTGGATGCGCCCAGAGATTTCAAATAGGAATCCATAACATTAAAAGCATTCTGACCTGTCGTGCTCTTTCTGAGTTCTTTGCAACGGAAGAATTGCTCTCTCATAGTCAAAAAACAAGTACAAGCTAAGAGCTGATATTTTCAAAGGGGTGCCTTGAGTCTAACAAGGTTGAAAACCATTGTTGTAGGCACTTCTTTGGTCAGAGGTGCTGAGTGAGGGTGGGTAGAGCCGCATATGTTCAACCTTCCTGCTGTTTGGGTCCATGTAATCTTAACCTGGTGGCCAATTTGAATGCAACAGCACCAAACTGCCTGGTATCATTTTACTCTAGAACCTCGCATCTACACAGACAGGGAGAATTTTCTAACGCTTTTCAGGAAAAAAAAAAGAAGAGTTTTACGTGTGTTCACAGCACTCAGCTTTTTTGCTTTTTTTAACTTTCCTTTCTGGTAGGCAATCGATGTGATGAGTGCCCTAGTGGATTCTATCTGAATGCAAGAAGCCCCAGGACTCAGTGTTTGCCCTGCTCCTGCAATAATAACATTGATATGACAGATCCAGAATCCTGTAACAAGACTACAGGAGAATGCTTAAAATGCTTAAACAACACACATGGGCCCAACTGCCAGTTCTGCAAACCGGGCTACTTTGGATCTGCCCTTATTCAGAGCTGTAGAAGTAAGTAAACAATTCAGTTACAAACAAATATTGCCACCAAGATTGTGCCTTAAGGAACTCATGGTGCACAGAGAACTTGGCTTTTACAGAGCTAATAAGACATCTCCTAGGAACTGAGCAACTCATACTATATTGGACAAATGCCTATTCATGACATTACTACCATGCTAGAACTGTCAGTTAAGTTCTATTATTGCCATTCTTAGTCACCCTTTTGGGTTTCTTTACATTGTACATGTCTCACAGGAGGCAGTTTTCTGAAGTGATAATGCTATACTGTGCTCTTGGAAAACAAGCACATGCTCATTCTCTTCAGGGAGGAATCAGAATGAAAGGAATTAAATTAATTTAAAATTCTGGTATAGTTAGTTATTCTCTGCATAATAACGGACTTTCTCTTTCCAGAATGCACTTGCAATCTTTCAGGCGTGAGCCCAGCAATATGTCCATCTGAAAATGAAGCTTGCCTCTGCAACCCAACAACTGGAGCCTGCCCTTGCTTACCTAATGTGATAGGTTCATTGTGTGACCAATGTGCTCCTGGCTACTGGAACCTGGGTAGCAGGAAAGGATGTCAGCTCTGTGGCTGTGATCCAAAAAACTCTCAAACTAACCAATGCAACCAGGCAAGATAACAGTTCTCTCACAGCTCACATTTGGCAATGACATGTTGAAAGGACACAATCCAAGACTCTCTCATAGCTTTTTTTCAAATCTTTGTTTTGCTCACTATTAACAACAGCCTCTTAGAAATCTTAAACTGCCAGAAATTGAATTAAATGTGTCATGTTTTGGTCCATCATGCATTACAGGCTGCCTTGTTGTGATGGGATTGCTCTTGAGCAATGAGTTCTTTAAATTTGTGCTTCCATATGGAGACAAGGTTCCTTGGGTGAATCTGATATCTTTTATTAGACCAACCCAAATAGTTGGAGAATAGTTATTAAGCAAGCTTTTGGGTTCAAAAACCCTTCGTCAGGCTAAGGAAGTTTCAGCAGTCGGTGTGTGCTCTTCCTGGATGGAATGAAAAGTAAAGAAGCCAGGGGCTGGGCTGGGGAGTCAGATGTCTGGCAGATTATAATGTGTCAAAAATCCAATGTCTATATTTAGTCCATGATTTTTAGTATCCAGGAGGTTGATGAAATGGAGTTCATAGGCTTGTCTCCGGGAAGTATTGTGTAAGTTTCCTTTGAGGATCAGGACTGAGAGATTGGAGAGAGAGTGGCCCTCCTGTGAGAAATGTGCCCCCACCGGTAATTGAGTGTTTCTGTCTTTGATGGATTTCCGGTGTGCATTCATTCTGGTGCGCAGTTGTTGTTTGGTCTCTCCTACATATTTTCCATCAGGGTATTTGGTGCATTGGATGAGGTATATAACATTTCTGGAGGTGCAGCTGTAAGATCCAGGAATGCTGATGGCTCTGTTGTGGGGTGTAGTAATTGTGGGGGTGGTGGAGATGTGGGGGCAGGTTTTGCATTTCTTATCATGGCACGGTCTGGATCCTTTTGGTGTGTTCTGGGCTTGAGGAAGTTTGCTTCTGGTGATGAGGTTAACGAGGTTCGGTGGTTGTCTGAAGGCTAGGATGGGTGGCTCTGGGAAGATCTTTTTAAGAATAGGGTCTCTTTCTAGTATGGGTTGCAATTGTTTGAGGATTTTCCGTACAGGTTCAAGGGAGGGGTGATATGTCATAACCAGCGGTGTGCGATTTGGGGTGGGGGTTCTGTACTGCAGCAGTTCTTCACGCGGTATCCGGGTGGCTCTTTCAAATGTGCAATCTCTCTCTCCGGAGGAGTGTCCTTGTTGGGTATCTTACCAATTTTACCAATCTTAAAAAGGCTTTCACCCAACAAGGACACTCCTCCAGAGAGATAGATCACCCAAGACAGTGACTTATTTGACTACATTAAGGCACCTAGGATCCCTATACAACCAATGAAGTAACTTGGGTTCTTCCTAAGAGCAATTCAATGTGACTAAGGTTCATTGTGTAGGCATGCTAACCAGAGCATGGTGAGAGCTAGGCATCTCCAGGGGGCAATTCAGAAAGCCTAGCAGCATCTAGGACTAGCTAGTAGGAAATGTTAAGCACAGAGATGTGCCTGAACTCCCTGCTCCTCTTAAGACCTTAGATGTCTGATCAGGTTGTATATTTAGCATTTCTAATTACTTATTATCCCCATTGACTGGTAAAGCTTGCAGGTGCCTTTGGCCCAGTAGCCTAGCTGTTAGAGTACTCACCCTAGAAGCAGAAATCCTGGGTTCTAGGCTCTCTGCAGCCTGACTTTAATCCACTTCTTTCACTTCCCAGGACAGTGCCCTAATTATTAGCATTTAAAACAGGATGCATGTATCATTCCTCCAACTATCCTGATGCATTTGGCCACTGGGGTCGTGTCCAGACATGTGTGGATGTTTGGTTCCCTGGGGACAACTTGCAGTGGCACACCTTGTGTCACCACTAGTTGTCCCTGGGGAATGCCTGTGCTATACGTGCTCTGGCATGCGGCAAGTTACCCTGGGTGGGGTAGGGGAGGCTGGAGCCACCACTGGGCTGGCCCCAGCAGCCATATCTGGGGGCCTCCCAGGATCCTGCCACGTGAAGACTGGCTGACAGTGGAGCATAGCTCCACCTGGCCAGGCTCCAGCTTCAGGTGGTACACAAGGCCGCTGCATGTGCCACTCCACCTTTTTTTTTTCCACATTTTTTTTTTACCTCTGGATATCCCCAAAAACCCTGGATATCCCCAGAAACCCTCTGCACTGTTCCGTTGTAGCATGGAGAACAACTGAACATGTGGTATGTGGCATCTGCGGTGCCACATACCGCACGGCCACCCTTACCTGGATGTGGCCTGGGTGGCCAAGAAGGCAAGAGTCTTAGGGACAAGCAAGCAAGAGGGAGCCTGACTGTAGCTTTGTGATTATGCCACTCCTCTAAGGGGCAGTTGTGGATTCAAGTCCCTGCTGCCAAATTTATTTGTTTGTTTAAGCAATGATTGTCTAATATCAAATGCAGGACCATAACTAGGCTTCCTGAGCGAGTACTGTAACCATTAAGCCACAGCGGCTTACTTTTTTTTGCTTGCCTTGCTTCTGTCACATGATTTGTCCTCTTAGTTAACTAGTAGCCAGGCTTCAGTTGGATGGGGAAGGTGTGAGATTTCTTCATCAAACTTATTCCCTAAAGTGTAGTGATTTTGTGGGAGATGTAGGTTCAAGTCAGTTCAGGTAAGGAGGGTATAGAACCTAGTTCTTTCGGTTCCTGACTGAGCGTGCTAAGCTATTGAGTAAAAGGTAAGCAGAATCACCACTTCCTCATTATTTTTAGCTGAATTCAGTGATGTTGATACAGGTTGGGCATGCTCAGAGCATACCTAATCAACAGTGTCTATTGGGGAACTTAGGTGGAATCTGAGCCTCTGCCATGATCAGTTTGAATGGAGTATATGCTGGAGTTATGTGATGAGGTGTTCCACCTGACTCCTTTCTCAACAGGTGCCTCTGCATGTGCAGCTAATGTGCCTGAATAAACTCTGGTGCACTTTGTGCTGGAGTTTATTACTCCCAGGCACAGTGTTTACACATTCACCCGGGACTGCAGCATGTTGAGCTGGGGCAGCACAGTCCTGACTGACTGGGAGCCTGCAGGGGATCAGCCTGCCAGCCCCGAGCTGCTCCACCCTGGGTCCATGTGCTGCGAAGGGGCTAGTTGGGGCATGAGGGCGTTATAGTGCAGGTCTAACCTGCAGGCAACCCCAACACTATAGCAAGCCCTGCTCACTGTCTATATGTGCATTGCAGTGGAGTAAATAAGTCCACCATAGGATAGTACTTGTATAGTTAATTAGTTTACTCCAACCTAATTGCTCCACATGTGTAGACAGTGACACTTTACTACAGAGCTAATTAGGCAACTCTACAGTAAGCGTCTTGTGTAGATGCCCCCACTGTATGAAAAAGTCCTAATAAAGACACCTGGAGACACTTTGCAGTTCAAAATGGAGGTGAATAATGATTTTAGGCACTGAGGATAGGAACAGACATTACACATAAACTGGTTTAAGAGATCAGGAACTGGTTTACACCTGTAACAGAACAGATGTTCAGTGCACATAAACCAGTTTGAAAATTGCTGAAAGTGGTTTGAGATAAACCTAGTTGAATGTAGTATCAGGCTTAACTGATTTGAGTCAAACCGGTTTATTCAATATCTGTCCAGACCCTTGCTGGCTTAAGTTAAACCAGACTCCCCCAGCATGCCAGAATGCTCTCTGGGCTGGGCAGGGCTCTCTGCAGAGCTGGCCCCTCCCCTCTGCTCCCTTGCTGGAGCTTAGCAGAGTCTGCAGGCATCTGCCTGGCTTCCCCCTACTGCCCCCCTCCCCTCCCAACTCCCTGCTAAGCAGGGATTGCCCCGTCCCCTCTGCCTTACACAGATACACAGCATTCACTAGCAGACCACATGCTGGCTATGGTCTGTGCTGTGGCAGATGGAACAAAGGCAGAATCAACAGGTAGCTGGTAATGTTTTCTTAATGGGCTGATAAACACCGAGATAGGGGTGATAAACACTGTTATCAATTCCCTGCTGGGCTGATCAGAAGTGGGGGAGGTGAAGGACCCCTCCCTAATCAGAGCATTCTGCCAGGGCCTGGCCACAACCCCTCAGCTCAGCATAGTGGAAGGGAAGGGAGGGCTGCTCTAGCCCCCCCCCCCCCAGCTTCTAACCTGAGCCACTGCAAGCACATGCCTGTATTTCTGGGATGTCTTTGCAGTTACAAACTGATTCAACCTAGCCAAGTTAGACTAACCTGCAAAGATTGAATCAATTCAAGCTTTTTGAATGTTGGTCCTTAGCCTGAATGCATGTTCTCCCTGCTGGCACATGGCTAGATCTTATACTGAAACATACTATTACTTATTATCTGAGTTGTACCAATTATCCAATCTATAATTTATGTTAATTAGTTTATTACTTGACTAACAAAATGTGTTTTCTAGGATAATCTGTTTCTGGACTCTTGAGATTCTAAATTACTTTTTAGGCATCCAGAAGTTGTAATCCAAAGATTACAGTTGGATCAGTAGTTTACCCTGTGATAAATAAGATTTTGATGAAGAAATGTTGTTATACATAAGAGGACAACCTTACCTCATACGGGCGATGTGAAGGGGGTGCATGCAGGTGCACGTACACCCCCTGAGCATGGTGGAGCACCCCCTGCAAAAAAGCACTGCTGACACCATCAGGAGTGCCTGCGGGTGGTCACTGCTCACCACGCCACTGTTGACACTGCTGCCAGCGTCTGCGGGCAGTCCATAATCCCCGCTGGCTGCTACTGCCGCTGCCGGCAGCAGCTGTGGGTGTTTGCCGACCCTTGGTTGGCGCTTGCCACCCCCTACTGCCGACAGTGCTGGTGACATCTGTGGGAGCTCCCCCGCTTATTGTCACCACTGCCACCACCACGATCCCACCGCCACTGTGCCCCCCCAGCCGCTGGGGGCACACACCATTCATGCTACCTCAGATGGGCTGGAAATAGTCATTCACATTTAAAACTCCCTCCCACGTATCTTGTCAAAGTCAGTATGGAGGTCTAGAGCATGTGAAAATGTTCCTATTAGGAAACTAAAATCATTCCCTTTATCCTTTTTGTTTTCATTTCCATCTATGCTATTTCCCAAACTCTAGCCCTAGGATACTAAGCAACCGGGAAACTTGAACCAGATCTCTGTAACCACTGTGCTCCAAAAATGCACAGGAACAGATCTGGTGCATTCTTTGTGCAGCTGTTATATATTGTAAATCTCAGAGAAAAAACGTGTGCTGAAATAAATGATTATTAGTGTGCTTGGTGCTGTTTCTTCCTCCTATTCATTATATATGTTGTTTACTCTTGGCTACCTTTACAGTTTACAGGCCAATGTCTGTGTAAATCAGGCTACCGTGGAAGGCACTGCAATGAATGTGAGGAAAATTACTTCGGCAATCCACAAACACATTGTATTTGTAAGTACTGCCAGATGACACAGACTGAACCAGAATCTGCAAGTGCTTTAATGGTTGATATTCATATTCATATACTAAACAAGATGTACAAATAGAGAAATCAACTTTAATACTTTTGCTTTAGTGTTATACCTGATATTTGGCATAAGGCAAGGTAGATTTGCACCTTATAGACTAACTAAATTACATTTGTATAAACTTTCATAAGCAGTAGCTTAGTCCATCAGACTAACATGGCTAACTACCTCTCTAAACATGATACACAACCCTGCTGAATATGTGAGGTTATCACAGAATTGTGAGCTAGAGTTGGAAAAGACCTATTAGATCAAATTCAGCATTGTTCAGCCATCAAATTCAGCATTGTTCAGCCTGGTACATTTTCTAGCTCTTTGTCCTGTCATCTGTGCAGGTCCCAAGAGAGATGGTATTGAGGCTTTTTCTAAGAATACTACTATTCATCCTAACTCATCTGAAGAACAGATATGATAATTTCTTCACTAACTTACAGTCATAAGAAGATGATAGCAAAGCAAAGAAGTATGCAAATAGAACTAGTATATAAAAGGACAGCAAACAAAAAAATCTTTATCCTGCTTTATTTGATTAATGAAGTTAAATCCCTTAGACACCTTTGAAAATACCAGCCAAAATGGTCAAACAACAGTATGTCAGTAAAAGGGGGGGGAGGGAAGGGAGGGGGTTGGGGGGTTGTTTTACTGCACTGAATAGTATTTTCTGGGTTATTTTAAAAAATATTTTACCACTGTTATTTATCTAAAATTTAAAGACAAAACCAAACAAACTCATGGTGTTTTCTGCCTCTGCAGCATGTAAGTGTAACCAGGAAGGAACACTCAACTCATGTGACAAAGCCACTGGAGCTTGCAGCTGCCATGCTGGTGTCACAGGAAGGTTCTGTGACCAGTGTGGTCGAGGCTTCAAGCAAGAATTCCCCACGTGCCCTCGCTGTCACCTTTGTTTTGATCAGTGGGATCATAAAATCACTGCCCTATCTCAAGCTGTTCAAGGGTTAATTAAATTTGCTGCAAATCTGGAAGATGAGAAAGAGACAATGCCCAGCTATGATACACACTTTAAAAGCTATGAAGTGATGATTTCTGAAATAGGAAGAATTTTAAAAAGTCCTGTTCTTTCACTGAAAATGTTCTTAAACATCAAGGATTTCTATGATTACATTCGGTAACACTTTCTTTGTAGAATAGGATTGCACTATAAATATTTCTGGGATGGAAAAGCAGTCTTCCATTGTACATAATTAGTTGCACAATGTATTTTAGTCCTATTTCTGATCATGTTACAAGTGTTAGATGATCAATTAATGATCTTCACTGTATTTGTAAAAAAACCCAGCACATTTATTATTTATCCCAAATCCACAACTTCATCACAACCCTATCAGGTGCAACTGAAATGAGAAAAGAGAAAAGATGGCTTTACTTTCTCACTTCCCCAAAAGCCAAGAGCTCCTGTAGACTGGTCCATCCCCTGGCCTAGCATTATTTTATGTTGCCTCAAGGCTGGTCTAAATTGTGTGTAGCTAAAGGCTTAAGAAGTTCCACTTCTACGTTCTTATATAAATGTCAACCTCCTGTTGAGCAGAGTCTTTAAGACCCTCACAAAGATTGCAACAGCTGTCAGATCCACTCAGTCAGGCTGGTAATGCAAATACAAGCAGCCCAGAGCCTTTCTTGTGTCAGACACACTGGTTTATACATAACGTCAATGCATGAATGAATCTTGTCTTTACCTTCCACTTTGCCTGCAAAACAGAGAGATTTGTCTATTAATAAGCCAGTCAGCATTTAAATGCATAAATTAATAGCTAACTAATGTGCAAGAGCATTATAGGAACAAGTCATTATATTAATGCATTATTAATATATGACTAATGGAGTACTGGCATCTCCTACAGAATAATGAGGGAAATTAAGCAATAATGTACATCTTGACATTAGTAGACTCTCCATTCAGAGCAACGCACAAAAGGAAAGGGTGCAATGCAGCACCTACTAACACTTCATGTTTGAAACACTTAAAGACATTTGAAGAATCTCAAGGCTAAGAGGAAGCACTGGAAAAGAGAGTGGAGCTCTCTGGCTAAATACAAAACAACAGGTGAAAGATGTACATTAGACAAGTTAAGAGAACTGGGTTAGGCACATTTTTAGTCCAGATTTCAAAGCCAAGATCAATCATGTGATTGCAAAACTAGGAACTTCTGTTTGCATGCACTAATAGTGTGGGTGATGCCTAATAAGATGGGTTGCAATTTGCTCATTTTACAAATGCAAATCCATATATGAGCACATACATTTGGGGGTTTATTAAGGCATTTGGTGTTCAGACCTTTTTTTCATTACAATTTTTAACATCATTTGGTGGCTTTAAGCATTTTGGGAATAGAAGATTAGTAAATCACAATAGGTTTTTTATTATACCAAATCCAACCTTGATACATGAAGAATGCCATCCTTACAGAATATGTTGCTAAAATTGGACTTTACATATATTTAAATGCTGCCCTTTTTTACTTTGTCATAAGAGTGAACTAAATATAATGCCACATTTGAATATTCCTTTGATTTAAGATAAGCTGTGTTCATTTAAAATAATTTGGCTCTCCTGGGTAGTGTAAAAATATATTTTCCTTCTGCAGGCAAAAAGTCACTCAAGTGGACCTGTATCACAGTGTAATGAATGAATTTCCTGACCTCAGTGGGAACATAGAAGATATTTGGAAAGAAACTGACCAGCTATATGCAGTCCTGCAACAGAAAATGCGTCTATACCACAGTTTTAATTATTTGACTCTCAAAGGTAAGAAGACCAACAGCTACTCAGAATTCATTAATACATTTCATTCAGTTTCACATGCAATTTTTCACCAATTCATTCTGCATGGTTTTCAGCCCTTTGGTTTAAGCATTCCATGATGTTTTACCTTTCTTAAACACCAGCTTCAAAATCTCAAAATTAAACAGTCAGAATGTCAGACAGAAGTCAGTCATACCAGTCAGAACCCTGGAGAAAGCTGAGGCAGGCTTCAATAGCCCCCTGGATTAGTGGCCTAAATTAAAGGATTGAGAATGAGCAAATACGAGGGTCCTAATCTTGTTTTTTGATATTGCGACTCAATATAGTGGCAAATACAAATAGTCAAACTAGCTTGGATACTCATATGCAGTACAGTGGTGGTAGCATGACACTTCCCCTGAGCCAGTTAGCTGCACTATCCCCTGACTGTCCTTTGTAAACCTTTGTAAAGATCTTTCTAAATAAGAGAATTATTTAATCAGGAAGCAGACCAGTTTTGTAACCTCACAGTTTGTACATGAAGGCAAAACAGAGCTCAAGGTGGGAAAGAGAATTGCCCAATGTCACAGAGCAGCAGTCCAATGCTAGAAGTAGAGTTGTATTTATGCTACGTGTTTACATGAACTATGTTTGCTATTAACTTTTGTTAAGGATAATTTTGATTGGCTGTTAATAGTAGTGGATCTGATGCCTGTTTCATAAGCTCGTCTTTATGACCAAATTAGAAATAATTATGCAGATGCTAGTTCATCCAGTAAGAACAGTGGAGTACCTAACAGCCTATACCTGGGGTAGTCAACCTTTGGTAGATAGGCACTAAGACATGGCCGCTGCCACTTTTTGACTCTGTGGTGGCATGCAGAGTGCTCAAACCTGAAGCCCCCCACTGCTGAATGCCTCCATGGGCTGGATCCAATGGTTCTGTAGGCTAGATCCAGGCTGCGGGTTGCCAGCCTTTGGTCTACACTACACTAACTGATCAAAGCAATTTACTTCCAGGAAAGACAGACCTTGGAGAACTATGGCTGGTACTTCAAACAGTGCAGCACACAATAAGAAGCATATTTTACAATACTGCCAGAAATTTAAAAATGAATTCCAGTTTATAGAAATTCCATATTCAGGGGGTGTTTTTTATTGTTGTTTTATCACTGACATGCAGACAATGTGCTCAGGGCTGTACCAGCACTGCTCTAAATTCAGAGTCTCTTATGGTTTCATTTGCATAAGAATAAAATGGGGCAAAGGAAGATAAAAGAAATGAAACATGATAAAAGGAACTAAAGCTTCAGAGAAGAGCACAGCTGATTAGGATTTAGAGCTTTTCTCTCCTGAGCTGCTTTGCAGTATCCTCTGGTGCTCTGCCTCTCAGTTTGGAGTAATGCAGTAGCATTTCAACACAGCTTTCCTATGTTATACTTCCCATTTGGATCATTTCTTGCACAGACTTCCTTAAACCAGTCAGTATACCTGGGGGAACTATTTAAGGGGGTGGCCAAGGAAGATCCTAACCTAAATGACAAACCCTGATGGAGCATGGACCTTTGTAGCTCGGACCTTGATGCCCCCCCGCTCAGATGCACGGCCATTTCACTTTTTTAACCTTTTGCAGAATGGCACTGGTGTAACAAGCAAAGTTGGCACTCTGGACAAATCCTGCAGGAGAATGGGGGAGAGGGGGAAGGGTGAGAAAGATGCCCTAACAACAAGAGCTTATCCATGCTAGGAACTGCAAAACAGTCTCTAGCTGACCTGCTGCTGCCTCATTCTCTGCCTGCCCTGACTGTTGCTCTTAAAGTAGGGTGACCATACATCCCAGACTGGTCAAGACAGTCCTGAATTTCAGAGGCTGTTGTAGCATCTCGGCCATTGGTGAAAAATGAAGGAAAAGTCCTGGATTGGTGGGAAACTCCCAGATGTTCCCAGCTCCTGACTCAGGCACATCTGCGGGTGGGTTTGGGCGAATCTTGGACTTTTGCTTCAACTTTCTCCAGAGAGTCCGGCTAATAGGCTGCTGGTCCGGACTCTGCTGGGCTGTGAGTGGAGTCACTTGCCCAGTAGACCTGGGGGCAGCGGAAAGGAGTCACAGCCCCACTCCTGGGAGCAGCAGGACTGGGGCTGTGTGTGTGTTTGTGTACCCTGCTCAACTCCACTCTTGGAAGCCATGGGGCATTGGCGGGGCAGGGCATGGGTGTGCATGTATATCCTGCCCAGAGCCCTGCCCTTTACCACCTCCACCCCCATTCTGGATTTCCCTTAAATTATTAAGGTCATCCTGTCTTAAAGCAGCAGCAGCAGCAGCAGCAGCAGCAAGGGACTGTTCTGGAGTTCCCCATATGGGAAGCTGTGGGAGTACATTTGCTGCTGGGGCATGGATTCTTTAGGAGGGATGCAATGCCAGCACCCTCCTAATTTGGTGCCCAGGGCAGGTGCCCTTCTCCCCCACCCCTAGTTATGCTACTGCAGACTGACATCCGTATAAAACAGTGGTTCTCAAACTGTAGCCTGCAGGCTGCATGCAGCCCAATCAGCGCACTTCTGTGGGCCATGTGACATCCTGTTAAAAAAAAGGTAAAGACATTTAACAGTGTAGAAATGAGAGGTATTACAGAATACTGATCTGTATTGCATTATTGTCAGACAACAGATACAACACATTTTTTAAACAGATACATAGGAAGTAAGTTGTGTGGGTGCAGCCCACAACGCATGGAGAGCTGCAAGTGTGGCTCACTATGGCAAATAGATTGAGAACTACTGATATAAAATACGTATAAGGAAGGTTCCCAATTTATACTGCATGTGCATTCAAGGCCCCATGTACCCATTCACCTTGCTTCCAAGCATATGACAGTACTATTAATAGACTGGCTGCCTGCTCTCTGAACACCTCAGGAGCCCATCTTTAGCTGAGTGCCAGCACCATGCCAGGGTTATTTCCTCTGTACATTTATGGTGGCTTTGGGGAGTGTGTGATGTGGACAGGGTGAGGCTAAAAGCAGTGGGAATCCATGCATTGTCTATTTTGCAGAGAAGTCTACAGAACAGTGGTTCAGTAATGTAGAGACTTCTCCTAAGCATTCATTTGGCTGGCAGTCTGAGAAATGCCAGCATTTAAATGATTAATTAAATTAGAACTGCTGGAAAGGCAAGAACGCCAATGTCCTCAAATGAATGTTCCCAATATATAAATACTCATTAAATTAACAGCTCTGGTCCTGGGCTTTGTAGCAGTTGTGACATTAAAACATGATCAATAAGCTTTTCTGGAATGTAAATCAAGTCTGTGGTAAGACGCTGCTTCTAAAATAGAACAACTCTGAGACCTTACCATCCCCTACTCCTTCCGATTCATAAACTATGCATGTAAAAAATGTATGTGGGCTAGTTCATGAAGACGCAAATCGTTGTAAATCATTCACACAGTGCAATTCTTCATTGTAAAAGAGTCTTTCCATCAAGTACATGGGGACAAGCCAGAGTCTAGGGGCAGAGTAGTTAAGGTGTCTGTCTTACTACAGTTCCATAGGCATGTTTTCAAGGCCCTGCTCTGGACGTGTACTGAAGGGAGATCCCTGCTATGGAGGAACCCAGGGCTGTCTGGAGTTTGTTGAAACCTTCACACTTTTTCTTGGAATTTTTAGTTTTGTAAAATGTTTGGGTTTCAGAAATCAGTTCTCTTTAAGCTGTTTTTTAAGCTATAGTTTTTTTAAGTAAATACTTTATTTTTGCTCCAAACCTTTGTGTTTCCAACATATATGAAAATGTGAGCTAAACAAGCAGGAAAGATTCAGATTTCAAAGGACTTGCCATGCTTATGGGCTTAACAGACAAACAATATTTTTTAAAAAGAGAACACCCTTTGCCATGAAACTGCATTTTTTTCCAGAGTCAAATGAAACTCAGAAATTTCAGCAGTATGTCTAAATTAGGCCCCACTTCAGTAAAACATTTATTTAACTTTCAGAAATTCTGCTGAATAGGGAAGGGATTACATGTCAGAATAAGAGTTACAGAACTGATCATTTTTAGTGGGTGTTACATTTCCCCCATACCAAGCTCAGAATAGCATAAATGATAGAATATGCCATTCCCCTCTAGCCCATAATGACATCAGCTGCTGAGCTATTGATGAGTATAAATCAGTAGCTGTCAGAACCATTAATCAGAGCTCATTCATACCTTTGTATCTTTAACTGGCTATATAGCTTGTGTTTCCAAAAATGATGCAGGTGCCACCCAACTATATTCATTTTCAGCTGTCATTAGTTGGCATCAATAAATCCTGCTAAAATTAAAACACTCTCCCTGGCTGAACAAAGGTTCACAAACCTGACTGAACAAATCACAGTTCCTGCCTTCTGGGGTATAATTTCCCCTACCATCCACAGCCAAGCCCAGCTGACAGCTTAGTTCAGCCTAGCATTTATCTAGAATGCATTTATTCAATACAATAATGATTGTCAGCCTTGCCTATATAAAATGTTATTTCTGTTTGTGTAGAGTCTTTCACCAATATCAGAAAGTATTACCAAACATCATCATCTGCTGAAGAGAAAATCAGTGGAATAACTGCTTTGATTAGGGACTCCAGAAACACCAGAGATAAAGTACTCGCTATGTTAGATGATCAGGGCTCAAAAAAGATTTACATGTTGGAACAACTCAAGATGATCAAGACTCCAGATATCCATAAATTTAATGAAAAGGTAAAAGGTTGTGCTTTTCTTTAAGTGGAAAAAGAAATAAAATACTAGGTTTTGCTGTTGCCAGTCAATAACACGGATCTAAAGGAGTTATTTTAAAGGAAATTTTACATTTATTTTAAATTTGAAAAAGGAGACCTTGTAGGGGCAGGTCTCAATCTAAGCATCATCATTAAAATATCTGGACAACATGGGCATGCTGGCCAACTTAATCTTTCATTCTTCTTGTGGTTCTTGTGATAAGGCCTTAAAAACAGGCCCTGTCTGCTCAGCATGGACATCAAAGCCCTACCAAGTCCATAAGTAATCATGTCACAGAATCTGAGCACTGCTCAGCTGCCTAGCATGGCTTCAAGCCTGGTTCCCAACTGTAGCATAGGTTTGACTTTAACTGTATTTCATAACAAGGCTAAACTAAGCTGGGCTGACAGTTTCTTCATTATTATCCCTTAGTTTTTTTCACATGATTAAGGTTTGATCTGTTTTAAATATGAACCACCTTTGTCACCAGGCTGCAGTAAGATGGAGTGCAAAGACAGAGTAGTTAAAGTTTTTGACTACAACTTCAGAAGTATGAATTTGAGATCCACTCAGGTCTAGATCCCGAGGCTACCTCCAGGTGACCCAGCTTTAAATGGATTTGGGCAGGAAAGTTCAAGGTAGTCAGATGTGAATACTAGCCATACTATGTCTTTATGCGGGGTTGACGACAGAACCTGATGTGCCTTAACAACACTGATGCAATGGGTTGCTGAATTTAGGATGACCTTTTACCCAGTGAATAATCAAGTAGTCACTAGATTTAGGGTTGACAAGGCAGTCAGTATTTTCAATATACCAGTCAATTGACTGCATATTTTTGACTGGTCAAAGATTATAGCAATTTTACCAAAAAAACCTACATTTTTTAGTTTTCTTGACAGAAATATGATTTTATTGTTTTCTGACACATTTCTTAATGGAAAATTTGTGCTTTTTCTGTGTATTATTTGGACCTATTGGCAATTTTTTACAATGTTTGACCGATATTTGACTGGTCAAGTGATTTAACTTTATTTAACTTGGTATTTGTCAAATACCCAAACTTAGACAGATTCTTTGATGTAATTGTATCTATAATGTAGATTAGACCTAAAGATCCATTGGCACTTTCTGTATGAGTAGCTGTTGTTGCCTAGCATTCTTGGCCAAGATCTTCCTTCACTGTATCCACCATTGCATTGTTTTGTGTGCTACGTACCAGCTGAGTCTCAGCCCACCGTCCTAAAGAAGAGTGTCTCAGTGGCAGTTTGTTCATATAACTTGAGAAATATGTTTGTATCCTTCAGGAGGCAGTCACCAGTCCAATGTCCCTTACCCCACCCCAGCCCGCTCCCCACAGCTGTTACATTTCAGAATCATAAAGACTCCACACTGCTTCCTAATATTTAATATGGTTTTATTTCAGATTTGTGGACTACCAGGAAACCTGCCATGTGTTACAGCAGCTTGCGGAGGAGCTTTATGTCGAGATAGTTATGGAAACAGGCAGTGTGGTGGGCCATCCTGTAATGGAGCTCTTCCTCTCTCTACGAGTGCAGTCAAGAAAGCTGTGGAAACAGACATGCTATTAAAAAAACTGACTAGCTGGCTACAAGAACCTGAGAAGCAGGTACTGTACCATCAAATCTATCCCATTCTGTGAATTTATTGGCAGGTAAAAAACAATGTAGTGATTCATACAATAAGCATGAGTCATTAAAATTGTAATGTCCATAAGCTAAGTGCACTATTAGTTTAAAAGGGACAGTGTCAAAATTAGTGAGCAACTGGTTATATACTATCATTGTTTGCTAAAGCAAATCTCTAAGGCTGCTTGTACACGTGACAGGGTAAGTTTAGTCCCTAAATTGAAATAGTGGGTTTTTAATTGGTGCGTTTTTAATTGTGCTGATTAAAAATCCATCATTTCAATTTAGGGGATTCTGTCACGTCACAGAGATTGGCCTCCCATCAGTTCACTTGCCTTGCCCCCCGCGTGCCACCTGGGAGCCACTGCCACTATGGAGGGAAGGTCCAGGGCCCCACGCAGCTCAGGGGCTGCTTGGTCCACAGACCGCTCACACCCTGGCTGCAGGAAAGGCAGGTAAACTCCAGCACTCTGTGCACCGTCTCCACCGCCTTCCCGCCTGGGACCGCCCAGGAATGGGCTTGCTTGCCTCTGAGGCAGTGCAGAAAGGCGGCTTCAGGGCAGCTGGGTGTGCTGGTGGTGGGAGAAGGCAGCAGGGATGGCGCACGGGGTGCTGGAAGCCTGCCAAGCCCAAGCTTCCCTGAGCACATCTGGGCTTCCAGCACCCCATGCACTGTTGCAATTTGTTACGTAGGAAACTAAAATACATTGGATGGGTTTTACTTTGCTACGTAACAAGGTAATTTACAATCTGAATCCTCATTACATGAAGGTTCAGGTGTAGGTTCTCCAAAGCAGAGCACTATCATTAACTTCTGTCAGCATGCACCAGGATCAGGGCTGGGCTGATACAGCCAAGCCCCGAGCCCAGTGCTGGGCTGATACATCCCAGCCCTGCCCTAGAATGAGAGGGGGAGAAAGGAGAGGAGGGAGTTCCATCTGGGGTTTGCCCAGCCTGCACTGGAGGGTGGGGTGGGTGGATTGGAGTCCCCCCACATTATGCTTCAGTCCACCTGCCCCACCGTCCAGTGCAGACTGGGCAAACCCAAGATGGAACTCCGTCCCTCCTTCCCTTCCCCCCTCCCATTCTGAAGATAACACCGGAGTTGGTGGGGGGGGAGGTTCAGACATGCAGCTACTCCAAACTAAAACTCAATCCCCCAGCCCCCAGACCCAACAGCAAACATCTGTTGGGTCTGGGGAAATACTGTAACTCATGGCACTTCATGCAAAGTTCCATGAGTTACAGTGGGGAACTACATATCTGTCAGCACCCTTCATGTAGTCAGCTATCCTTTAATGACTATACACAGAAACAGTAAAACTGTGTACAAAGGGCTGTCCCTTAATCCAGCATTGTGCATGGATTAAACTGGAAAAAAAATATTACAAATGATTTGTTCGTGCTAGCTTCTTTTAGTCCTAGTCATTAAAGGTCTGCATTTCAGGGAGAAATGTGTTTGTTAATTAGCAACACATCTTTTAGTTTCTCTGAGCCTCAGCTTCCATGTTTCTAGAATACAGAAAATAGCTATACTCTCTCAGGGATATTGTGAGAATCAGTTAATATATGTGAAGCATGATATGAGAGAAGCAGCAGAAATGGAAGCTACTGTCATTGTCCTTGTGATTAGATGGAAACAGAATTTTCTTTCTCCTTGGATTGCAGAAAAGCATTGCTTGGAACTTTATATAAAGCAGAGTATGGCCCCTAACAAAGAAAATATTTGTTTTGTTCTTTAAACTGTTAGATCATTACTAATTAAAGAAAATCCATCAATTCAGTGATTACAATGAATGGAAACTTACAACTTTTAAAGGCATGTTTTTAAACTCTGATAGCCTTGACAGTGTCCCTTTAAATCTAATGTTAACATTAATTCCAAGAAGATGGGGGGAAAATATCATTACAAGTTGTATCTTTTCTTTAATATGAATTTCCATACAGTATATAATTGCAATATTGAGTGATGTACAGCATCTTGTTTTAGAGCTGTAGGCTTTTTAACTTCAATATAGCAACCTTTGAGCTGTGTTTGGAAATGGAAGGAAGATGTTGTTTAGTCTTTGGTGTTTGGTCCAAATGAAGCTAATGCTGTAACTCCCACTAAGTTCTGTGGGACCAGCATCTGTCCCTTAGTGTTGTATAAGGATTGGTTTAGTGGTTTCAAATGGGACCTACGTTTGGCAAGCAATGATATTTAAACACTAAAAAAGGATACCACTATATCTAAAAATATTTCCAGATTGGAAGCATCAGAAAAATGGCAGAAGACACCAAGTTGAGAAGCTCACAGTTGCATGGGAAACTACAGAAAGCTAAGAATCACATTGATATGGACAGAGAGATCACAAAGGAATTCATCAGGAAAGTGAAAGACTTTTTGTTAGGTAAATATGCAAGGAAAGTTCTTCTTTGACTCTCATTTCTTTGGTTTATCTCAATATAGTATGACATTTATCTCTCCAAGCTGTAACATGATGCTTCACCACGTGTAGCTCCAGAGGGCACTCTTTTCCTCCTGTGAAAACGGCATTCAACATCCTTGTCTGATCTGCTTTCTTTTATCAGATCTGAACAACCTACTTCCTCATTTTACTGTTTCCCAGATTTCCCCCTACTTTTGGCATCTGAGTATTTGGGATTTTTTTCCCCCTCAGAGATCTATTAAAAGTCCTGGCTGTCACCATGTATTAGGGTGTTTCATTTGAAGCATGTATATCTACTGACTGCTGGCTCACATGAGTCATGCACCACTGGGATATTTTTTTCCCCTCCAATCAAGCTGACAAGGCCCGTAGCAGTCTTTCCAACTCCCATCTCCTGGACAGAAAATACGTTATCTCTGAAGACCCATATGTGGAATGTGATAAAAAATAGCTGATGGGGAGAGCAGCCAGGCCAGGGCACAGGGGACACTAATCCTTCCTTTCCCCATTATTCCTGTAGTACTTATGTGCATGATAGTGTACTGGCCCAGCCTTGAATAGACCAGCAGAGTGTGGCTGTGAGGGCAAGTCAACGGAGGAGCACAGGATTGATCCGTATGCCAATCTAGCAACTGTAACATGCTGTTCAGGTGGTGCAAAGCAGCTGCACCTGATACTTCTGCCTACACGTACAGGACATCTGCATCCCCACACTTGGGCTCCTGCATGGAGGCCAGATTTTACCTTCCATTTATGTAAGCATCTAAGCATCTTTTGTATTGAAGCCTTCCTCTAAGGCACTTTCTAAGGCACTTTCAAGGCACCAGGCTGACTGTAAGGTCAGGAAACGAACTGTAGTGTTTACACACACACACACACACACACACACACACACACACACACACACACACACACACACACCACCACCACCACCACTGAGTATTCCTGCCTGCCTGACTTCCTTGCTTCCTCCCTCCCTCTGGGAAGTTGAATGCACAAAACAATGAAGTGTGGTCAACTGTTATGATTTTATTCTGAATTCAGGTGTGGATCCAGGATTTGGCAAAGCAGGTATGGAAGCAGCCACTTGTGCTGCAGAGGTGCCTGCACTGTGCTTCCAGCCTCCTGCTCCCCACTTCCCCGTACCTACAAGTGTGGGTAAGACCACAACAGCAAAGCCTCTGGGGACTTTTCTAAAGAAAATCTCCTCTTCCCCTTTGTATTCAAAGGCACATCTCTTTCCATCCCTTGCCTGCTGCTACTACTTTCCCCACTGTCCTGGGCCAGGGAAGCTTCAAACCTTGTCTTGCAAACTCCAGCTGGGCTATGAGGGCACTGGGCTCAGCCAGGATAGAGACAGTGGTAACATCAGAGATGGGCAGTAGTGCATTCCCACCTCCTACCCCCTAGGAGCAGGCATGGGAAAGGGGAACCTCTCTCCCTCTCTCCTCTACTGCTGTCACTGTTCCCAGCTGAGCCCATCCCTGTGTAGCCTGGCTGGAACAGGCAGCAATGGCTTTGAAGCTTTTTCAGCCCCCAGGACAGTGGGAGAAGCAGTAGCAGCAGGTACAGGGGGGAGGTAGGAGAGGGGAGGGGACCTGCCTCTGAGCATGGAAAGGAAGGAGGGGGATTTTCAAAAGTCCCTTAGGCTCCCAGGACTCCCAGGCAACTCCACACCTAAAGGCTTCATATGCACACATTGAAGTTTCTCATTTGCACAGCATTCACCTCTGTGACCCTTTGAACTAGTGCAGGGGTGGTCAATTATTTTGGGCGGAGGGCCAATTACCAAGTTTTGGCAAACTGTCAAGGGCTGCATGGGTAGCCCCGTCCCTTGACAGGTGCCCTGCCCCCTGGCCAACATGTTGGGACTTGAAGTCCTGCCCCTAACATCTGACCTTTGCCACTGGAAGTCCTCCCCCTCGCCCCTGGAAGTACTCCTTTGGGGAAGAGGGTTTGCCATCTTACAGGGGAAAAAAACAAATTGACATACTAAAAATCAAACACCCATAATAATATATTTTAATTTAATTTAAAAAAAAATTTTATTCTGATATGTGGATGTTTGTGGTGTATATGCAGAAGTGATTGCATATGGGGGCTTGTGGGTATGGATGTGGGTATGGGAGCCATGTAGTACAGAGTGGCCGGGCAGGAATGTGGGGAAAGTGGCAGCGGGGGGGCAGTGGGAGTGAGCAGGAGCATGGGGCCTACACCAGTGTCCCAGGGCCAGTGCGGCAGGGCCCAAAGCAGGGCGGCAGGAGTGCGAGGCATGGGCTGGCAGGAGTCTGGGGAGCTGGGCTGGGCTGCACCAGCAGGGAGAGGGGGGAGCTAACCTGGCTCTATAGAGCCCCTGCTGGCTGGGATCCCCCACTCCTGCCACCCTGCTCTGGGCCCTGCCGGCCCTGGCCCCAGGACACCAGCGTGGGCCCTCCACTTCCTCCTGGCTGCTGTTGGCTCCCATGCGCCCACTCCCAGTGCTCCTGCCCCAGCCCCGTGGTACAGGCAGGCAGCAGCACACAGCCCTGACCCCGTGCTCGCCTGCAGGGAACGAGCTGGTGCTCATTGCACGGGAAAAACACTCCCACCCCTGTGGCCAGTGCTCCATGCTGCAGCCACTCACAGCCTGTGTAGGGCTGTCCTGCCCCTCCACCACATCACCGCCACCCCGTGGTGCAGCAGTGGCAATGGAGAGCAGGCACAGGCAGCCCCGCGTGGGCTCCGACCAGCTGCAACATGGGGCGCTGGCCACGGGGAAGGGGAGCGGCTGCTTTTCCCCTGCACTGAACACCAGCTCATTCCCCGCTGCCACTGCTAGCCTGGGTGGCGGAGATGCACGAGGGGGGGAGGCCACTTTTCCCCCATGCTAAGCATCAGCTCATTCCCCATGGGCAAGCATGGGGTCAGGGCTGTGCACTGCTCCCCATCTGTACCACGGGGCTGGGGCGGGGGCACTGGGAGTGAACGGGCATGTGGGAGCCAGCAGCAGCTGGGTGGGAGCATGAGGCCTGCACCAGTGTCCCAGCACCAGCAGGGCCCAGAGCAGGGCGGAAGGAGCATGGGGTCCTCACCAGCAAGGGCTCTATGAAGCCAGGTCAGCTCCCCCCTCTCCCTGCTGGTGCAGCCCAGTCCAGCTCCAGAGACCCCTGCCAGCCCATGCCCCACGCTCCGACTGCCCCGCTCTGGGCCCCGCCGGCACTGGACCCAGGACACCAGCACAGGCCCCATGGTCCTACTCCCTTCCACTCCCCTCCACCTCCACTGCCACTTTCCTACCCGCCCACTGGCTCCTGGCTACATGGCCATACCATGGGGCTTAGCAGGAGCTGGCTCAGCTCTGAGGACTGGGGCGATCCCTGCAGTCCTCCTCTGCCCCACTTCTTACCTGAATTTCCTGTGCTGGCACAGCCACGAACAGCCCCACGGACCGAAGCCAGAAGCCCCTGCTAGGTAGGGGCTTCCGGCTGGGCAGGGGGCAGGGCCAGGTGGGTCCTGCTGTTGCAGAAGCCTGCTGGGGCTTCCCCTGGGTTCTACTGCCCCTGGCTCCTGTCATCTTTGACAGGAACCAGGAGCAGATAAATATTAATTTTCTAAATTGTTTAGAGTCCCTGCAGGCTGGATCTGGCTGGCGGGCTGTATTTTGCCCACCCCTGATCTAATGGGTGAAAGAAATGGGCTTTTCTGTGTTGTACCCTGATGTTGAAGGACCAAGTTCTAAATTGGAGCATTCATAACCTGGTTCAAGTCCTTCGTCATCCTTTTCTGACAAAACTAAGAGCAGCACCTCACAATTATTATATTGCATTATGAAAAGTTAGAATTCTCTTGCCCTCTTGCTGTGCTTATCTACTTTATTGTCTGACATAACTCAGAGGATGTAGGACACAGCACTAATGTTTAAACCTAATGATTCACTTTACCCTGTACTCTGCCCCAATTTTTTCAAGATGAGAGTGCATCTCCAGAAGACATAGAGAAGGTTGCAAATTATGTTTTACACATAAACCTCCCAAGGACTGCACAGCAGCTAGCAAATACACTTGAGAAAATTAGAAACCTCATCACACACTGTGAGAACTATGAAATCAATCTGGACAAGCTAAATAAACAAGTGGAGGAAGCTCAGACGCTCTTGGTGGAAGCTAAACAAGCAGAGTGAGTAGAATCGTCTCTTGCTGATGCGATGAGTCTGGATAAAATTGCAATGCATACAATACAAACATATTAGTGAGGTCACACATCAGTATGTAGGGAAGGGGTTATGCTGGCTATAAAGAAGATAAAGTTCAGGGCTTTGAACACAGCAGGTTTTATATTTTCATGTTCACTGGAGCCTCTCCAGTGGTAATGATGCATGTCCTTTCTCACCACATACATCTGCCTAAGTCAGAAAAGGTTATATCTTTGCTAAATCTTGACTCCTCTCTCTGCTGAACTGTGAACTGTTGAGACCTTATATCTGGGCTATGGGGAGGTTTGCTTCCAACATAGGAATTTGGGGGTGGGGGGAGGCAGAAATTTTGTTCACATCCTGGGCTACTCCTTAGCCACCCATAGCATCAGCCTTTAACTTTAACTTCTTTAAAGAAACAGGTAGATGTTGCATTTTGCTTTTGGAGACCTACAATTCCAGGGTTTTTTGAAAGAGCTGATGAATACTGTTTGGTCAGGGATATAGGGCTCTATTGATGCATTTCTGGATTCATCTGAGGATGTGTCTTATTATGCTAACACACTGCAATTATTTATTTAGGGAAGCAACTAAAGCTCTTCCTTCTTCTGATGAAATGCTAAATAACCTGAAAAAGGCTAAAAACACTCAACAGCAAACTAAAGACATTGTCAACGGGTTGAACGGAGACCTACAGGGAAACGGAATAAAAATCTCCCAGGTATTTCTGGGTACAGTTTTCTTAAAGTCTTTTTTCTAAAACAAAGGTTACATTAGCTTGAAGATCTCAAGGTTCGATTGGTGTAAATGTACACTAAATGATAAGAGAATCTGGCCCAGGTATGGCCCCCAATCCACTTTAGAAGAGTAATCTTGTTAATTGTTTGGTAATAATATCCTTCAGCAGTGAGGAAACATGTTGTGTAAAACTTGTTGTTTTTCTTTAGGCTGAGAATCAAGTAAACAAGGGAAATGATGAACTGGAAGACTTGTCAGAAAAGAAGTCTCAGTTGGACAATGAAATTGCCACATTACAGGCAAAAATGGTGACTAACAAGGACCAAGCAGCAGAGGCCAAAGCAGATGCAGAAAGGGCACAGGAAACAGCTCTGGACTCTGATAAAGTAAAGAATTCAAAAGAAAAAAAAATGTTCCTTCCTACATGGTTTGCAGTACTTTTCAATACAACCTGTAGCAGCACAATCGTGTTCCTGTGCTCCTCTTGAGATTAAACCGTTCCCTTATGACAGATCCAGAAGCATTTCTTTCTAATTTAATTTAACCAGCAAATTATAGTCCTGTTTGCTTATAGCAGTATAAATTAACACAAATCTTGAGTCTTTTTGTGATACAAACGATTGCACTAAACAGAACTTCATGTGATAATGGAAGTCAGTAGGACTAGTGGTAGAGTAAACTATTATTTATGCTATGAGGCACAAGTGTTCTATGCCTTACTCTGTCCCTTTTCCTTCAGAGTAGTGGTTCTTTCCTTCCAGCCCTATGGACCAGATGAGTGGTACAGAGCCAGTCCATGAGCTAGATCCCACAACCCAGGTCCAGCCATGGAGCAACCCTATGCACCAATGAAAGGGGCCGTATCATCTGGCTTGCAGGATTCCCCAGGGGTACAGAAATTTGAGTGGGGGACCAGCAGGTAGCATTAATTGACACAGCTTCCAGAGCCATGCACTGCAAACAGGTTTTTCACATTTCAGAGCTGTGGCAACCCCTTCTTTGCTGCCAAATTTCAGACTCGGGAGCACCACAGGCAGGCTGACATAGCCCTGTGAGCTAAAGGTTGAGCACCACTGCTTTAGAGAAAACAGGGAGAAGGAACTGTGTGTTTGTTTCTTGAAACTCAGTATAGCTTCAGTTTTATGGGACAGGTATAAACTTTCCAGAACTTCTGTGTATGGGTAACATACAGTTCAAAAACTCAAGCATGCATTGAATGAGCTCCTGGATATAAGACTAGGGACAGACATTCAAAAAGCCTGAGCCTGAATTGATTCAATCTTTGCAGATTAGTCTAACCTGGCTAGGCTAACTCAGTTTGTAACTGTACAGACATCCCAGACATGTAGGCACATGCCTGCAGTGGCTCAGGCTAGAAGCTGGGGGGTGCTAGAGCAGCCCTCCCTTCCCTTGGACAGAACTGAGCTGAGGGGTGTATGGTCAGGGCCCGACAGGACACTCTGATTAGCCCAGCAGGGAATTGATAACAGCATTTATCACCCCTAGTTCAGTGTTTATCACCCATTAAGAAAACAACAGAGGGACATTACCAGCTACCTGCTGATTCTGCCTTTGTCCCATAGCCAGCATGTGGTCTGCTAGCTAATACACAGACACCTCTCAGCAAGGCAGAGGGGAGGGGGGAATTCCTGCTTAGCAGGGAGTGATGGGGGTGGGGGGAAGGGAAGAGCCTGCAGCCTCTGCCAGAGCTGCAGCCAGGGAGCAGTGGGGAGGGGCCAGCCATGCTGTGGAGCAGAGAGCCCCGCCCAACCCAGAAAGCATGCTGGGATACTGGGGGAGTCTGGTTTAACTTAAACCAGCAAGGGGTCTGGGACAGACATTGCATGAACCGGTTTAACCCAAATCAGTTAAATCTGATACTACATTCAACCAGGTTTATCTCAAACTGGTTTATGTGCACTGAACATCTGTTCTGTTACAGGTTTAAACCAGTTTCTGATCACTTAAACCAGTTTATGTGTAATATCTGTCCCTAACCTAAGCAATCCAGTAGTAATCAAGCTTTGGCTCTCACAGCAACCTAAACCAGGTAGGGATTGAGCTAGAAAGTAAATATTATGTAACCAAAATTATAAAACTTGTGTTATGGCTAGTTTATTAAAGCTAAATTAAGCTGTGTGCTAAAAAAACAAATGTAAACAAAACAATTAAAGGAAAAGGAACTAGGGAAAGTATATGCTTTTCCAAGCTTGCTTAAATGATATTTGCTTTCTATCTCCATCCCCTCTGCATTATGTGCTGCTCAAATAACAGTTTGTTTTATTTTGATTTCTGCCACATTTTGCATTGTCAAAGCTTCTTTTAATGTATACTTGTCCTAGGTGGGTTTTTTTAGGATTTAAGAGACTAAAGACCATAGGTGTGGTCCGAGTGAGATAATTAAAGGAGGTACAAAAATCCCTGCTCTCTTCATATAGGGCAAGTTAATTACAGGGTGCATTGTTAAACAGAATAATGTTTTTTGTTTGTTTGGTTGGTTTTTTTGTTTTAGGAATTTGCCAACCTTAAAAGAAACTACACCGTTCTGCAAGAAAAGCTAAAAAGGAAGGGGCTTCCAAAGGAAACTTTAGAAAAATTGAAGCAGCTAAAAGAAGAAGCAGAGAAACTGGCTGAAGAGACTGAAGAAAAAATCAAAAGAATAACAGGTGTCACTTTTCATTTTCATGCCACCAGTGGGAGACCCAAGAAAACTGTAGAAGCTACAACCTAGAGCAGGGTTTCAACCTTTTTAACAAGTGTACCTCTTCTACCTATGAAAGGATACAAGGGCACCCCTTCATAGGGAGTGGAAGGGTGGGGCTAATGGGGCTTAGCCCCCCCCCCCCCCCAAATGCAGGGCAGTGGTAGGGCTGCAAGGCAGCCCAACCACAGGCTTCTGACAGCTGCAGCAAGGGTGGAGAGGAGAGTGGGCACAGCGGTAAGGGAGAGAGTGAGGCTGGGGCTGGGGCTAGTGGAGGGGCAGGTGCTGCCCAGCGGGGGTGGGGTGAGGCATGGGACTGACCCACAAGCAGCTCATCCAGGGGGCGCAGCTCTTGCTGCTATGTACACCCTGGGAAGCATGGAGGGTGTGTACCCCCAGATCAGTGCAGGGCAGGGCAGGCTGGCACTGCAGGCTGGGGGTTGAGGCAGGCTGCACTCAGGGCCGGTGATGGCGGCACTGGGAGTGAGGCTATGGGAGGAGGCTGCAGCCACCCCAAAATTTGCTGTAGGCCCCCAACCTCCCCTCCCAGCACTGCTGCTGCCTGCCCTGAGCACAGTGTGGCCCAGAGCCTGCTGGGAAGAGCCCAGTGCCGCCCCAGCCCAAGCCCACAGCAGCAGCCTGCCCTGCCCCGTGCAGATCCAGGGCACATGTCCCCCATGCCTCCTGGGGTGCATGCAGTGGTAGGAGCTGCCACCCCCTCCCCGCGCCCCCTGGACAAGCCGCGGCTCCGTCCCGCACCCACCCTACCCTGGGCAGTGCTTGCCCCAGCCTCACTCCCTCCAACCACCCCCATGGCCCTTTCCCCTCCCCCCGCAGACTTACCTGCTGGGGGGCGTGCGTGCTCAGCCCCCCAAATTTTTTTCTTCCTCCGCCTATAGCAGTCAATCAGGAGACCAAGCTGGAGTGGGGGGCAGGGAGGCACTGCAGTGTGCTGTGTGGGGCCGGCAGCACCCAGGGGAGAAGCTGCCACCGTGTACCAGTCCATCCCCGCCTGTCTGCCTGCATGTACCCCCTACAACCTTTCTAAGTACCCGTGACCCCCAGTTGACAACACCTGACCTAGAGGCATAATCTACCCACACATGTTACAATGATTCACCTAAATCACTTAAAACAGGGTTTGCACCACAATCTATACTTCTTTAAGCCAAGTCTAAGGCCTTATGTATACTTAACTTGCTCAGCCATCTCCACCAAGCCACCAGATCACATACACGTCCATATGTTTCTGTTGGGTTCATATGAATACACCCAGCAACTGTGCCATCAACATGCACCCTGGGAAGGCAGCAGTTGCTGAAAACACTGGACCAGTTTGCAGAAAATATGGGAGGGTGGTCTATGCCTGCCTTTTGCTAGCTGATGCCTCATTCCACTGGCAGAGATAATGTAACTGCTGGCAAAAAGCAGGTTCCTGCTACATTTGAACATGGATGCAGTCATGCAATTCTGCTGGCAAAACTCTCTAGGGTAGAAGAAACCTACATCTATTTAAGAGTGTGGGTCCAGATGTTACAATGATAAAATGAATTAATTTAAAAGGAAACCTAAGACAACAGTTGTTTAGACCAAGTCTCTAAACATGATCCTGATGAGCAACTGCAGTTTCTACTGGAATCAGAAGGTTTGCTTGGGAAACAGGGGAAAAAAAGCTTTGAAAAATGTAATATGGAAGGAGGTCTTGCCTGCAACTGGTTCCAGTGGGAGGGGAGGGTGCTCAGCATCCAGCAGGATCAAGTTCTTGATGTCCTAAACAGACTCTGTGCACATTTCCAAAATACAGATGAATGAAAACCTTGGTACCTGGGAGCCTCTGTAGAAAATCTGCTTCAGCATCAGCCTCCCATACCTGTTTACTTCTACTGTAGTCACATACAATGTAAATAATAGTTTCAGTAATGTCACCACACGAGCAAATCTCCAAAACATAGCAGAGTTCTGCCTAATGGTCCCAATCCTGTTTCTACTGAAAGGCATGATAATTCTGTCATTGCTCTTTCAATGGCACAGGGTTGGGCTCCAAAATGGACGTGTACCTACTAGGTTGGATCCATAAAAATATTACATAAAAAAGGAAATTAACCCTGGAAGCATTTTTTTCAGGATAAAGAGGAAGCAAAAGAAGAGGAACAAAAGAGAATAAACCTAAAAGCATCCTGAAAAAAATAGTTCCATTATTTCGGAGCATTCCACAGCCATTCCAAAACCCAGCTGCTACAGAATCATAGGAAAGTAGGCCTGGAAGGGACTTTGCAAGGTCATCGAATCCAACGCCCTGCTAGGATGACTGGTGTAATAGAAATGAAAACAATACGTACAATTTTGATTCATCAGCAGGGCATGTTTTCATGATAAGGACATGGAGGCTCTTAGGTTTACTGATATAAATTGGGTGCAAGACCATAGAAACTAGTGGAATTATCAACATAAAACCACTATAAGGGAGAGCAGCATGTCTATTAGAGGCAGACTGTGGTAATTTTATTAAACTATGGAGGGTACATCAGCATGGCACGATTCAGTACCACGCAGAGATATCCAGTATACTTCATGATGCCCTCCTGTTGACACAAATGGAGGAAGATTGTTAGCCCAAAATGGCTAACTGATAAATGTCTTTTCAGGCAAGGATTCCTTCCCAATTCACAAACAAAACCTTTCATTCCAAGCCTGCATAAAACATTTCCTTTTAGAAATGTGATTGTTCTTTTAAAACTATATGCGAAGAAAATGGATTTTATCCCTAGATGTTATTTACACAACATTAAACATTATTAAATGCCACTTTCCTCTTACAGATTTGGAAAAGAAGCTCCAAGATCTGAATCAAACTAGACAAGATAAGGCTGATCAACTAAAGCAACTAGAGGATCAAGTAACAGCAATTAAAAACGAAATAATGGAGCAAGAAAGCAAATATGCTACTTGCAAAAGTTAGGACCTGATAAAGTATCGTTTCAAATGCTGCTGGAAATTTGCTGAAGCCTCAGTTTGTCTTTTACCATTTCTGATCTTTTCAGCATCATATGGCTATATTCTTTCTGTGTGGTGCTGTATAGAGAGAAACTAATTTTCTGTTGGTTATTAGTCCAATTTAATGTACACGATGATAGTTAATGATCTTTCAGTAAAATACTTGATGAAGTAAGCAGGGTATGGTTTTCATGCTGGCTCAAAGCAATGAGCCACCCCGCTTCACTTGCTGTAAGAGGAACCACCAAAACAAGGCTCAGCCAGTAACAGGCTCAGCAAATCCCCTGGGTCTGTCACCATTTGATACCTTACAGTCCTGCCACCAGACCTGCACATCTCCCTCCTGTGCTCCCCCAGCTCCCTGCCACGTTTGTAGACAAAATTACACAGTCTGATGTGGAAATCTAGTTGGAAAGGGGTGCTGCAAGGGTAGAGGTTACAGGACTGAAAAGAAGATACATTTTTCCTTTGTCACTCTCCTATATGCACATTCCCATACCCATTTACCTTTGCCACAGGTCCACTCTCAAACTCTAGTCATCTTAGCTGGGAGAGAACTAAGAGAAGTAAGCCTGTCATAGCCAGTAAAGCATGAGCACATGTTCACACTGTTTTTTCTCTGAAGATACACATAGGAGCAGGGGCGACACATAGGGGGTACACGCAGGTGCACGTGCACCCCTTGCATGTGGTGGTGCACCCCCTGCAAAAAGGCATCATCGCTCTGTCTGCAGGTGGTCCATGATTGCCCCTGGCCGGCACTTGCCCCCCCCCACCGACAGTGCCAGTGGCATCTGCGGGAGCTCCCTGCTCACTGCCGCTGGGCTCCCACCCGTGTCTCACCAGCCATCAGGGGCACACAGCCCCCCCCCCGCTCGCCCCCGGGCCCCCCCCCCCCCCCCAGCTGCCAGGGGCATACGCTGTTCATGCGTATGAGGCATCTCACTTTAATCTCATGCAGCTTTGGGACATTATTAGATTGAGATGGGTAGTGATTTTCCTTTTGCCCACTAGGTGGAAGCAGACAAACAAATTATCCCAAATGACACAGAAAATAATATTGTAAATTCACTATTTTCAGTTTACTTTGGTATGAAAAATGTTTTGAAAAAAAATTTCATTTGGGATTATTTATCTAATCATATGAAAAGGAATATAAACAGGCTGAAGTGCTCTAAAATAAAAATGTCACAGCTATAAAAGTCTATGCCTGATTCTGCAAACACTACACAGGCATAGAGATTACCACCAAGAAAAATCCCTAATAAATTTGGAAGTAAGTATGAAGCCAGACCAGATGCTAAAATGGCTATCCACTTAAATGGCCAAGCAAACTGTGCTGAAGTAACTGGCTACACTCTTGACATTTATAAGACCACAACTGGACACTTTGATCTGAAGTAGGAAAGATCCAGGTTGTTCTAACTGAACTATAATAGAACCAGTGTTTCTAAAAACTACTAGATCTGCCATGAAACTGCAATTGTATCAGGATTTGAACTCTGCTTTTGTATTGGCTACAATGTATTCAGTTAATTTGCTTCATACCTATGAACATTGGCAGCCTAATCCTATTCCACCCTTAGGGCATCTAGGTAGTTTTAGGCACCTAAATGCAATTCTGGTTAACTTTGTTCAGTCCCTGAAAATCCAGTACTGCATCTACTCTTGTAACACCATCATTTTACCCTTCAGACTGCATCATGAAGAAGCAGGGAGGAAGAGAAAGAGGACTCCCCACTTTTTGTATTAACAGTTTTTCAGGAACTTGAGCAACATGGAATCAGCTTGCACTTAAGTGCCTAAGGCTGCTGCAGCCAGGACTGGGGTGAGTGGGGTCACAGTCTTTTCCCTTCTCCACACAGACTTACCTGCTTGGGCGGAGGGGCATCTATGCTGATCGCATAAGAGTGGATTTACCTTGCATATAACAAATTATGGGTCTAAATATGCTTATCACAAAGGAGCAAATTCGCATATAAAGAACCTGCATAAATCAAGGGAAACCTGTATACCATTTTGGCTACCATGGTATACAGTTTTGAATAATCACCATTTCCCGTGGTTGTGCATCAACCCACCACCTGCTATTTTTCCCATAAGCCTTTTGTCTTGCCAACCATGGTTTTCTCAACTACGGCAACTTTCAGGAGCCTAACCCCAGTGGTTGGTGAGGGAAAGCTATATAGGATTAATACTTCCTTTTAATAGGAGAAACTAGCTTTAAGGAAAATCACAAGAAAGAATGTTTTGTGCTGGGATTTTCAGAAGGAAATGAGGCCCCCAAATCCCAGCCTCAGTGTTAAGTATTATCAGGGCGGTATACCACATATTCCTCCATGAAGATCAATCTTATCTATAGAGTAACAATATTTTTACCTCACTTGTCCAACACAGGTATCCTATTATCTGATTTGTCTGTTTTATTCTGAAGGACAATTATAGCTGTAATTATCCAAAAGATTAGAGCAATGAGTTGAGATGGACCCCAGGCAACTAAAGCCGGCTTTTGCAGAATGTAGGATTCTCTGCAGCAATAAACTACGTAACATTTACAGGCTGTAACACTGGGAGTGTGGTCTAAAACATTCCTTATCTAAAGGCAAGCATTATTTTGATCCAGAAAAGATAAAATATCCAGAGTTGGATTGTGTTTGAGAACTGAAGTAACATTCAGGGAATTATTGGCATAGATGAGATTTTTAGGGATATTGTTCAAACCAACTGCCCTGGGCAAAACAGTATGCCTTAACAGTATAATAGATTTTACTGTGCAAAGTGATGGAACCAAATTACTACTTTCATTAAATCTAAGAAAGACATCTGCATGTCTTTCTTAGAGATCATCCAGGGTGATCTCTCCCTGGATGCCTCCCTGGACACAGGAGGAGGGGTGGATGTCATATACTTAGACTTCAGGAAGGCCTTCGATACGGTATCCCACCCCATACTGGTGAACAAGTTAAGAGGCTGTGACTTGGATGACTACACAGTCCGGTGGGTGGAGAATTGGCTAGAGGGTCGCACCCAGAGAGTCGTGGTGGATGGGTCGGTTTCGACCTGGAAGGGTGTGGGAAGTGGGGTCCCACAGGGTTCGGTCCTTGGACCGATACTCTTTAATGTCTTCATCAGTGACTTGGACGAGGGAGTGAAATGTACTCTGTCCAAGTTTGCAGATGACACAAAGCTATGGGGAGATGTGGACACGCCGGAGGGTAGGGAACAGCTGCAAGCAGATCTGGACAGGTTGGACAAGTGGGCAGAAAACAACAGAATGCAGTTCAACAAGGAGAAATGCAAAGTGCTGCACCTAGGGAGGAAAAATGTCCAGCACACCTACAGCCTAGGGAATGACCTGCTGGGTGGCATGGAAGTGGAAAGGGATCTTGGAGTCCTAGTGGACTCCAAGATGAACATGAGTCGGCAGTGTGACGAAGTCATCAAAAAAGCCAATGGCACTTTATCATGCATCAGCAGATGCATGACGAATAGGTCCAAGGAGGTGATACTTCTCCTCTATCGGGCGCTGGTCAGACCGCAGTTGGAGTACTGCATGCAATTCTGGGCGCTGCACTTCAAGAGGGATGCGGATAACCTGGAGAGGGTCCAGAGAAGGGCCACTCGTATGGTTAAGGGCCTACAGACCAAGCCCTACGAGGAGAGACTAGAGAAACTGGACCTCTTCAGCCTCCGCAAGAGAAGGTTGAGAGGCGACCTTGTGGCTGCCTATAAGTTCATCACGGGGGCACAGAAGGGAATTGGTGAGTATTTATTCACCAAGGCGCCCCCGGGGGTTACAAGAAATAATGGCCACAAGCTAGCAGAGAGCAGATTTAGATTGGACATTAGGAAGAACTTCTTCACAGTTAGAGTGGCCAGGGGGTCGGACTCGATGATCTATAGAGGTCCCTTCCGACCCTAACATCTATGAATCTATGGAGGTATGCACATTTTTTTTGGTTTAATGTGTATATTATTCTACAAAATTCTAGTGCTTTTAAACATTTTTCTTCATGTGGAAGACTTTACAAACGAGTACAGTGCAAATAGGTAAGAATATAGCAACCTGACTTACTTCACTATAATGAAGTCAACGAACTACATTTTAATTGGAAAACCGAGCCAACTGCTTGTACACATCCCTTTGTCTAATTAGAAAGAAAGTACTCAACTTTCTTGTAAGCATCAACATAGACAACTGTACTTCAGCAGGCATCCAGTGGAAGGTGCTTATCCTGCTGCTCGTTGGGGTGGGCACACCCCGCTGCGGTCCCCCGGGACAGAGGGCGGAATAACCCCCCTCCCTGCCCCCTGTCTCAGGGGCTGTGCCGGCAGGGCTCTGGCCCAGCTCCTCTGCCCCTGCCCTGGAGTGGTGAGGGGGAAGTAAAGGTGATGGGGGCAGCAGCCCCTGTCACAGTGTCCTAGAGTGCAAGCCTCTTCCCAGCGGGGCAGGTGAGGGGGGGCAGGGAAAGCTGTCACAGATGAGCAGTGGCAGTGGGGGGGGGCCTATGGCCCCTCCAAGCCCTGGTGCCACCAGTTCATGGCAGCGCTGACTCAGGGAGAGGCTCGCGCTCCCCAGACACCATGAGAGGGCCTACAGCCCCCGTCAGGGCCCTGCCCCCTCGACGCTCCAGCGGCAAGGCAGGACCCAGCCAGAGGCCGACTGGCAGGGCCCCTTAGGTGAGGGGGCAGGGAGGGGGGTTATTCCCACCTCTCTTCAGCATCTGGCAGAGGGGGCAGGAGGGGACTTATCCCGCCACTTGCCCCACGCAGGGAGCAAGCAGGGGTGGCAGCAGTTGGGGTGGGCAGACCCCACTGCAGTTCACCAGGGAAAGTAGGGGCAGAGGGGGAAATAACTCCCCTCCCTGCCCCCTCTGCCTCAGGGCCTACAGCAGCAAGCAGGGAGCATCAGGCGGACCCTGACCTGGGTCCATGCCAGTGGGACAGGAGGGGGGAATTCCCCAC